CAATAAAATGAAACAGGTGTACTTTAAAGCGTTATACGCCCACAATTTAATGCTTTGCAGCTGTTGGCATGGCATGTCAAGTTAAACACAAAGAAGTAAAATGAGGCAGTAAAAAAACAGAGCTCAATCAATACAATGACTGTTTTAGGATTGTATGTTTGTAGCCTGGCAACACCTGAGCTGACAACTTCATTGACAGGTAAAGCCGTGCGTACACCTGTCCTTAAAATTAAAGGAAAATGAGGGCACATTTGAAAACCCTTTAAATTTGAACTATATTGTGACTTTGCTGTGATATAATCAGCCTTAAAGGTGTGAGACACTTGTTTAATCAATACATTTGCAGTGGTCTTGCAAGTCGTACTCTGGAAGGAAACAAAGATTTGATGTGCTTGTTTCAGGACCTAGAAGATTGCCACATCAGATGACAGCTTAACACAGCGGGGTTTGGAGTCCTACTACTTGATATTTGGACATCTCGCCTCAGATTGGATTAGCAGCAACGTGACTCTACAACTGACTTGCAATGTTGATGTTTTATCTCCACAAATAACACAAGCCTGGAGGAGTTCTGCCTTGTGGTGGAGCTGCCAATGCTAACAGTTAGCTTCTACTTGGCGAGATGTTCTCTGCCGTTTCCTGAACACTAGATGGGTGAGTCTATGAATGATCGGTGAGGCTTTGCAAATCCTAGAGTTTTACCCTCTAGCAGAAGCTAATGCAGCAGATAGGTGTAGGAGATTATTTTCATGTTCAGTCTGTATAAAGAACTAAGAGTGACTGATTATTTCAGAAAAAAATTCATTAAAAAATGTTTTTCTATGTTCCACACATTTAAAATGTGTGCTCAGAAGGATGCAGCCTCTGACTTCAGACACAGCCAAAATATGAACAACTCAGGCAGCACTGTGCCATAAGATCAATCACAGTAGCACTTCTAGAATCACCAAATTCAGTAATGCATTTGAAAACTAATTACACTAAAAACTCTAAGATAGCTTTACTATAAAGATGTAATAAGATGAATTTTTATTCAAAGTTAAGGACTGATGAGTTTCTTGGTGCAACACACTATCATGATAAGCTGACCACAGGAGGACTCCAACCCAAAAGGTCATGAACCTCTGAAGTGGTTTGACCTTGTGGCTTATTGTTGTAGCAAACGGGGGAAATCAGACAATAGACAAAGATAAATGTGACAGGCTTGGGTGGAAAAAGTAAGAGTGGAACAAACTGCATGAACTGCATCACGGAGAAGAAATACCCTGATGCAGGCCCCTCAGAGTTGGTTTAATATCAAGTGCAGGCTCCTTTGTTTCTCCGTTTCTCACATACACATACGCACCAAGAGCAGGATGGCCTCAGACCTGGCAAGCTGCTCTCAAGTTCTTGGAGCAGATTTCTCTCTAATTTAGACTTGATTACTGTGGGCCCTTCTGTGAGTGACCAGTGAAATATGAGTGCGGAGCGAGTATGGAGACTTGGACTTAGTTTAACGCTGTGTGCATTTGATTAGAAGAGTGTGCACGCACAAAAGGCTGTCTGAGCTTTTTTGATCAATGTATACGTAAACGCGCAAGTCTGTGTCAAAGTCCATGTGGAGCCAGAGTGTATTTCTTCTGTCCACATGCGGTTTCTGGCAAGAGCTGGCGCAAAAACGGAGGGAAGTCTGCAGGGATTCAGGGAAAGTAAAAGCCAAGCTAAATAATGGTACCTTTCTTAATCCAGAATGTGATCTCTGAAGGCGACAAACTGAATTGAGAGGGTCTGAAATTTAACTGAAGTTAAATAGCTTTAAGAGTTCTCATCTGGTCTTCATCAAATGCATCTTTGCTCAAGAGCTCTGCCTTTACAAGTGCTGCTGCGTGCAGCCCAAGAAATTCTTTTGATAAATGCGTTCCAATAAATAACTGTAAATGCTAAAGTGATTTTACATAATTTTATTGGTTCATTTCTTTAATGTGTTCAAATGAAATACCAAACTTTATGTGAATGTGTGTTTCCAGCCTAAGTTAAGACATTTAACAATTTTCGCAAAGTACATAATTTATCTGCTTTTTAGAAGAACATCAAAGCAAAAACAAAAAGGTACTGGAGACGTGTGGAAATTTTTATTTTACTTTACTTTTATTTTAAACAACAGATTTCCTTTTTTGTGAATATGCAGGAGCACACGTGTCTCCACTACTGCTGTAAGTTGTTTTAGATAGTGTCAACAACCCAAAATACACCCAAGTTTTCCTCATATGGAGACAAAGGTATTTGATTTGTGGGCAGGTTAACTTCCCAGAGGTAAACAGCAAGGTGTGTGGTGTCTCAAGCTGTTAACGTTTAGTTACATAATAGAGAGGTTGCCCAGGGAGAGCGAGAGCCTAATTTCTGCTGGTTTATTCTACCCAACAACTATAATTTAAACTGGATCACTCAAATTCTCAAAAACTACTGAAAAACAATAGTTAGGTTACCATCCCTGCTTTTTAATGCATATATTGTAATGATTGTAAAAAATGTGTATCCTTCTGAGGGGAAAACAAGACTTCGTGTGTTTTAAAGAGAAACCACTACAAAATAAGGTTTCATCAAAAAGTGTCTGGTTTTCAAAGTTGACCGATTCTCTGAACTATCAGCTCAGCTGATCTGAAACTGTAAAAGCCTTTTCAGATCAGGTCCATGAACACACCATCGCAAAGCAGCAATGGAAAAATTTGATGTTTTTGTGGTCCATGAATTCAACATCACAAAGAGCCACTTCGTAGTAGTTTTTCATCCAGAATCCTAACTTTCAAGTTATTTTATATTTTTTATGTATTAAGTGAATTACGATTTATATAGACGTGTTTTGAGATCAATCAGAATCCAAGCCAATATTGGTATCAGCACATGGCACCAATACAAGAACCAGAAATCAGAATCAAGCCCTCAAAACCACAATTGGTGCTTATCTACAACTAACCTTACACGACACAGTTAACCAGCTGTTTCTAAAGTTGGTGAACATGGAGTGATAAATATCTTTACAGATTATGATGCAGTACTCTAGATGTCTATAAACAGTAAATCAACTATTTACTATTATTTATCTTGTGCATGTGTTGGTTTCTAAATGAGTCCTTTTAACTTTTGTTCAAACTGTTAAAATACTTTTGATCGAACTAGATGTGCATTTAAATGCAATGACTTGGTAGAGAACTTGATTGCTAACTTGATATTTGCAACTCCAGTTGCTTTTTGTAAATTTCAACAACTACTGAAATAAATGCTTAACATTTGTTTGTCTAAATAAAAACCAGAAGGCTTCCAAGTCTTAAGTTATCTTTTCTAAGACTAAACCACAGCTGGGCCTCACTATTGAGATTTAAATAAATAAATGCAAAATCACAGGAATCAAACTGATGAAAATCTGGATGCTATTAATACTGCAAAACTCTTGGGCAATTCTGGTTTTCGTTGCTTTGCTTCATCCCACCACAGGAGTCCAGAAGGGGGTAATAAAACGCTCCCACTGGTTAAATGACAGCCAACAAATGACATCCTGAGTGTCATTTCCTCTATTTCTTCTTTCAGCAAGCTACTACAGATGATCCACTTTCATTAACGAATAAGAAAATGTTTAAAAACAGCCAAAAAATACGCAACATAAGTGACCCATCCCATCAAAATTGTAATTGTGGGACAAAACGTAAAGGATGTATACACAATCCAAGAACTCTTCAGTTGTGCTTCATAAAGGCTGCTTGGAGCGATGTTTTATAAGATCTTGTTTAGAATATGTCATTGTCTTCCTAAACATTGTTACCGACCATAGGGTCACCAGAAACCAGTCAATTAGTTTTGGAGTAAACATTCTTGGCCAATAAAGCTGCCTGACCATGCTTTACACTGTGTCATCTCTTTGAAGCACTGCAGACTAGCCTCATGAATAAACAAGCATACGCTGACGTCACACGGCATGTGTTGTTAGTAAAGACTGAATTTTGTCACCAGCATTTCCAATTTCTTGTTTAAATTGTTCCGATTTGCAGAACTTGAACTTTCGTCTTTAAGTTCTAGAGTGACTCTGAATTTTGAACTTTGCCCCAATTTACAGAGCAGATGTAGAAAAACCTTGCAGCTCTGACTCTTTCTACTCCTGAGACACCCTCAGGGCTCATCTTTCTGTGCACAGCCTGTTTGCATTCCTGGTGATCTCTATTTCAAGGCTTCATCACTTCACTAGAAAAAGGAATGCACATCTACAGCGAGACCCCATGCCACCATCTAAGTTTTTCTCTGGAAATTTGTTTCTAATAATGGACCAGGCCCATTGACTTGTACTCCAGCCCTGCTTGAACTACGGCTGAGTAAATAAATACACAACAAGCGCGAGCTGAATGAAGCACGACGTTGTTTATCACATCAGCAAGTGCTTTTGGTTGACATTACTGTATTTCGGAGCTCCATTTAGACACTGCCAAGTATCAGAGAATAAACAAAACACGTTAATGAGAGCCAGTAAAACTACACTCTTTTGGGCTCTCTCTGATCTCTCTTTGTTTTGTTCTAAACATAAAAATACAGATTATAAACCAAAGTTTCTACTAAAAACAAGACTTGCAGAACAGTAAAGCTGCTCTTAATTAAATTTCTTCAGTGGAATCCTGTATTTTAAACCTACTTTTAAGCACGAGCCCAAAACTTAGGCGATAAAATAAGCTAATGTTTTGGATGATGATAACACATGTAAATACTTAACCATTACTTAGTAATTCATTAGACTAGACTACAAACTAAAAGGCAGGAGTTTGGGAGCACAGGACGGCTAAAGAGGGCGCAACAGAAGCTAGCATCATGATATATCGCCTCGTGAACAACAGGGTCCGGACAACGTCCCCTCTTCTCCCTCCTGCCCGGTGAGGTGAAGCGGGTTAACTTTTCTGCCCCCCTCCCCTTACCCCGTTGCTACATACCCGCTAATCCCGTCCTCCTCCCGGTTTCACGAATATTTAACCGCACAAACTAACCTTGGAAGTGCTCCCCGGGTCAAACAGGCATTATCGTGTTGTCCTCTTCCATGACTGGAACTTCTACGACTTGTTCTTCGGGTTTACCGAAGGAACGGGAGACGGAGGTTCGAGACAGAAGAGCTACAAACTAGGATGGGGGATGAAGAGGAGGAGGAGGAGAGGGGGAGGGGAAAAACGAGGGCAGACAGTTTAGAGACGTGTTATTGGTGGAAAGGCCTGTCGATCATCGTAGAGTGGGCGGGTTCATACTGCCAAAGACTGATCCCAGGTCAGGAGTGTCAGGAATACGAAACAGCAGCCTCTGAAGTTATTGATTAGAGCAAATGTAACGCTTCTGACTGTTTAAAATATTGAATAAATTGACTACATTTGGACTTTAGCAGTTCACTGATACAATATAACTACGAAGTAGGTTCACTGTAAACTGCGAATAAAAAACAAGAAAACAAAAGTTTTGTACAGGAAAATGTAGGTAGATTTATCCTACTGCATGTTTTTAACTTTCTAAAGCAATAGTTTAAAATCATATTTATATATTTGATACAATTCAGATCGCATTCAAAACTCTGTCCCACACCCAGTGCTGTTTCAAGGCATTTTGGGGGCCAAGGCATGAATTAAGTACTTGTCTGCTTGCAAATTATTTCGGATTCCACTTTTTTTGTCTCGTGTTTCAGATTAAAACAAAAAAGCATTTTAGTTTGTGGGAAAGATAGCCTTAGTACAGTAGATAGCTACAAAACACAGTTGACTAGAAACTATTTATTTTAACTTACATTTTTACACATTTTAAGCACATTTACAGCGAGAAGAGTTTTATATCTGTTATTGGAGTAGACTGAAGCTAGTGCTTATTCATGCCTCACTCAGAAATGCCAGCTTGAGGAAAGCTATCCAAAACAACCTTTTCTTTAGTGGAAAAGTAATTACCCTCTCTGTTAAAGCATCAGTTAATTGTGATTAATCACAATATTTGGAGAGCAGAGTTCATTTTTACTATCCACACCACAGCTTGATTGCTGTCAGACCTGTAGATATGACTAATATTTTTAATAGAGGCTGTCTGGCAAAGTGAAGTAGGCTGAAGAACAAAATATTTAAAGTACTGCAGGTCCCACAGGGTCAAGGTTGGTTTATGCTTGACGTGTCTGCGAGGTCCGCACGGCTCCACGCAGAGAAATTGCGTCATTTTAACAACCACGCCCCTCCACCGCGTCTCCGCACGGCCCAAAATGTCCGCAACGCGCACCTAGGAAAATTTCTAACCACGCGGACGGTCGGACGCGGAAAAACATGGCGGACCTGCAAGAACTAGTATGGCAGAGGTTCGTAAATACAGACATTTGTATGATTCAGCTCTCAGAGATCACCGTGATCAACATGTTGTTAATAATTCTTAGAGAGAAATAGCTCACACTGTTGGAAAAGACAAGGACGCTGTTAAAAATGCTGGAATGCCATGTTGTAAACAGTCATTTTTACTTCTACTATGGTGTAGTGTTGGATGCATGCTGTAGAGCTCCATGCTGCCCCGTTCAGTTTGGGGGAATATTGGCTCACTGCAGAGACAAGCCGCATGAACTATAAACGCTGCGAGTTGTGAAGCGCGTTCCATCCGCGAGCCGCATCACCAAGTGGAAGTGAATGTGTCAAGCATAAACCAAGCTTCAAGGTCAGAGTGGGGGCATGTCCCCACTATCCCCCCAAAAACTACACCCATGCTTCCAAGGGATTCTTTGCCAGTTGTCAGTCACAAAGTGTGATTGCAGATGTAGTCACAACTTATTTGTTGATCTTAAACTTTGTGTGTGGAAAAAAAAAACATCTGTAAGGGGGTGATACTTTTGTTTCAGGTACTAAACATCCTGATGTTAACAAATTCAGTGGTAATATATTTATGTACCACATAAAGCTCCTGATTAACTATCAAGTGCTTCACCATGATCAGAACAAGCCCCAATCAAGTTTTAATCTAGATGTTTTATTTATATTTTGCTCTGAGGCTCTTGGGTATTTTGTTCACACATAAAAAATAAAAATAGCTTTTGTGTGTTTCAGCCTACATTTGAGCTTGTTTTGAGACAGAGCTTTGACTCATTTATGTGGCTCACCTGTTGCTCGCAGCACACACAAACTAAAAAAAACATCAGTGCTTCCATCGCTCCATGCTCTGGCAGGCAATAAATAGAAGAACGGCGACATCTCATTTTCAGAGGTAGTGACCTTTTCTCCTCCATGATGAATGCAAATAGTGATGTAAAAAATACATTTGTCATCATCACGCGCTCTTCCCTCTTAAAAGGACTCTGACCTTTGACTTGTGTTTGTTTTGGAATGGCATGAATAACATTTCTCATTTTGTTTTATTATTAACAGACTAAACAAGAACAGTCTGAAACTGGGGAATTTGGATTTGTCCGTTCATCAGACAAACAAGACTGACACAACTGCACTCAGAAGGGGGGATTTCCAGCAGATCCACTGTCTTCTGTATGATGTCTCTGAGATCACTGGGCTCAGAGCCTCAGTGATAGTTGTGCAGTTCAGCAAGGAACTGCAATAGACTGATTTGCCCTGCACATGAAATATATATATATTGAGGGTTCAGTATCTTAACTATTCCTAGAACTGACCTTTTCTGGACTGAGATGTGGGATTTTTTTTAATTTTTTTTTTTTTTTTTTTTTTTGTGGGACCTGCTTTAGCCACTCCTCCAGTTTGGGGGTTACTGCCCCGAGTGCCCGATGACTACGGGCACCACTGATGTCTTCACTCTCTAGGCTTTCTCAAGTTCTTCTTTGAGTTTCTTTGGTTTGGTTTCTGGTCTTTGCAGTAATTGTATCTTTTGGTCATTAATTGCATCCTTTGGTCAGAAACCTTTGTTTAAATGTCTTTTTATCATCTAAGTTTATGTCTATTTACATCGCACAGCCTAGCTTCTGCATTTGGTTGCTTCTCACATGATAATGAGTTAACAACTTGAAATATTAGAATATGGTGCAAAAGTTCATTTACGTCAGTAATTCAACTTAAAAGGTGAAACTAATTTATGAGATAGACTCAATACATACAACGCCAGATATTACAAGCCTATCTTTGTTATAACTGTGAAAATTATGGCTCAGACAATTAGAATATAGTGAAAAGATTCGATATTCTAGACTCAAAGTGTCACACTCTAAACAGCTATTGAATCCAAAAACACCTGCAAAGGGTTCCTGAGCCTTTAAATGGGCTCTCAGTCTAAGCTGAAATACTGAAATTGCACCATGTTCTGATATTTTGAGTTTCACCTCTTTCTTCCACCTCTCTAGGGCATCTGGGTTTCCATGCATCTGGATTTTTTAGTTAAAGCCATAACAGTTTTGTTTGACATTGTGAAAATGTAAAGATACAACCTTGACAAGTCATAGAAACATTCAGATCATTAAAGGCATACTATGCAACTTTATTCATATTTTTAACACATTTCCTTGAACCATGTGCTAAAATGACCGTTTACAGGATTAATAAAATGTCAATCAGACCCCACCGACACCTGTTGCCGTAATACTGCACTTGCAACTTCAGAGTTGCCGGCCTGGTCCCTGTTAGATTCCACTTAGTCTTAGTAATGTTGAGTTGACATGGCAGCACTGCAGTCTTCCAACACTTTCCTCCATGTTTTAGATCATAAATACTGCTGATTTGTTTGATTTAGTAATGAATCACTCCTGTAGATGCTAATGAAGGCTGAGGAGACTATTCAGATGTTAGTTAGAAAGGCAAATGCGCAACGAGAAGAGTTTCAATTTGGGTTTCACTAACACAACACAATGGGGTTCTCTACCAGGGAGCTTCTTAAAAAAATAAAAACAAAATTATATATATATGTATATATATATATATATATATATAGGCAGATCATACTGCCTATATATATATATATATATATATATATATATATATATATATATATATATATATATATATATAGGCAGATCATACTGCCTATATATGTATATATATATATATATATATATATATATATATATGTATATATATATATATATATATATATATATATATATATATATATATATAGGCAGATCATACTGCCTATATATATATATATATATATATATATATATATATATATATATATATATATATATATATATATACAGAGAGAGAGAGAGAGAGAGAGAGCTAGAGAAATTTATATATATATATATATATATATATATATATATATATATATATATATAATATATACTTTTTTTAACACAGAAACCAAGCCCATAACGTTTTGCACAAATGTGTTGCTGCCCTCTGCTGGCCAAGATGACTTTTCTCCCCAACTTTGCATTGCAGCACTGCATGAACAAAAATTCACTTGCAGGTATATTTGCACATGCACGACAAACAAATATTCTGATTTAAAAACTGATTATGCTGATTTTCATCTCAGCTTCTTTGCACTTTGTGCTGGAACTAATCTATAAGTTGTGAAAAACATTTAGCAGCAAAAACATTTTTGCCTCAGTCCACATCAAGCTGAACCCACACAGCTGACCTCATCCATACGTAAACCACTCAACATCACAGGGTGTTTGAAGCAAATAAATAAAGCACACACTTTAGTGGGGATTTTAAATAAATCACTGCGACCACAGCTTAAAACGGTCAAGCCAAGAATACTGTTCTCTAGTATTTATAAATCAGTGCTGTGATCTTTTGCCAAACCAGGCAAAATTTGTATAAAAGGCTGCAGCTAAAGCTCGGTTACACCACTGAATTCATTAGGATTCATCTTTATAAGCCAGTGAGCTTTATGACTGGATGAGTTATTTTAAATGAGGAGATGTTAATGATATGTGGTGCAGAGTAAGTTTTTGGTGACATGTTTGACATTGTGGAAAAACCAGGTTAGTTCGGTTCTCAGAAAGGTTTCCACCCTGAACCGTGTTTCTGGAGGATGCAGAAGACTGTCTTCTCAAATGTTCTGCTGACAAACTTTATCTTATGAAGTTTTTTGCTCTGTTACATTTTCAGAATGATCAAGTTTGTGTTTCCTGTCTGGCTGAGAGTTTTGAGACAACATCATTGTTGGGTATTTTTATATGTTCCTTTTTGATTCGTTTGCTCCTGTAAGCTCATTGTTATCTCTGGAATGTGGTGTCCTGGGAGGTGAGGAGCCTGTACCTCTGTAACCCGAGAAGGCCTGCCTTCTCCGTCCTGAGGCTTGAATAAAAGGCTGTGTGGAGCTAGGGAAGGTGGGAGAGGCGATGATGGAACTCGGAGGAGTTGTGTCGTCGTTCTCTCTCCCCGCTGCCCGGCAACGCAGCATACAATGAAATCCTCTTTGTGTATGTGTGTTTATTTCAGGTTAAGGGTCATGGAAATTACGAATAATCAATCTCCTCTCTCTCTGTGTGTGTCATCCTTTAAGGTAATATGGGATAAATGAAAAATTACCTATCAATCATTTTAGAGAAAACGTGATGGGACTGAACCACGTTCATGGCCAAAAACATTCTTTTGCCACATTTCCTGCAGGATAAAATTTTTGAACCACTGTCCTAAAACAACTCTTAAGTTCAAAAGTTTCATAGTATTTCATGTATCTCAGACTATAACGTTTACACTACAGCACTTTTTATTTCAACTTTCTCCTTTTTTTACATGGAACTTTGTACATGCACATGTACAGGGGCTGCGTGGTGGTGCAGTTGTTAGCACTGCTGCCTCGCAGCAAGAAGGTTGCAGGTTTGAAACTCGGCTGCGACCTTCCTGCATGGAGTTGCATGCTCTTCTCATGCATGTGTGGGTTTCCTCCGGGTGCTCCGGTTTCCCCCACAGATCACAACATGCCCTATGGATTAACAATTGTACTTCACTTTGGATAAAAGCGTCTGCCAAATAAACAGACATAAACATGCAGCCAAAATCAGCTGCAGAGCTAGTTACTGTCTGGCTGGAATTTTATAATAATTGTGCCAGAATAACTAAAGTATGGTTGTGACGATGCAAAGGGTTAAATAGCTTTTCATAACTTATCAGAATTGATTTGTTTAAAGACACGATGTAGCTAAATGTCAGCTTTGCAAACTTAGATTGTTTATTTATTTATTAATTTATAAGTAGGGTTAAGGTTAGTTATTCAGGACCATGAAACAATAATACACACATAAAGAGGCAGATGCCTTGTGCCTGATTTAACAGTTCCTGTTGCAGGCTGACATAACACACACACACACACACACACACACACACACACACACACACACACACACACACATTATAAACATAATTATTAGTAACAGGTATACAATCGAGGTTAAAGGACAACGATGCATGTGAGTAAAATACAAACCAAGCCAAACACATTTTATAGAGTGGTACAATGCAAACTATAAATAATTAACTGTTATCTACCAAAAAAAAAAAACACTTTTTGGCCTCCCAGGGAAAATGAGAACCTTTTGACCTTTACAAGCGGTGCTATTTAGTGCTATTTAACACCTTGTAGCCCAATCTTTAAAAAGCAAGTTGACCAAAAGCTGACATTCTTGAAGGAATTCAGAGCAGTTTAAAGTCCCATTATTCGTCATCACAAACTGGTGAAATTACATCTCTGCATTTGACCATCCCCGTGAGGAGCGGTGAGCTGGAGCTGTGGCTGCGCTCAGGAACTATTTTGTGATTTAACCCCTCAATCCAACCCCTTAAAGCTGAGTGTCAAGGCATTGGGTCCCATTTTTATGGTCTTTGGTATGACTGACCAAATTTGAACCCTGATCTCCCAGTCCCAGGGCAAACACTCATATGACTTTATTTGATTAATTCATGTTGTTGCATTGTTCATAACTTTGGTTTATGTGGATAAATGGGGAGAGCTGTTGTTCACTGACTGGATCAGTGGTTCGATCCCCAGACATCACGGGCCACTTGCTGAAGTAACCCTTAAAGTTGCCCCCGTGGTGCTTTAAAAAGGCTACTCCTCAGGGATGGGTCAAATGCAGAGTATAATTTCCCGAAGGGATCAATAAAGTAAAAATGATATCTAGAGTATAATTACTATTACTTAAGCAAATATTATTTATATAACATTTCCAGTCATTTAATAAAGCTTTGCTGTGAATGTTTTTAAAAGATAAAATATCTGTGAGATATCTGAATATTTACTAGCTCAGTGTTCCAGTGGTTCCTGAACCCAGGAGATCAGGGTTCCCTGCTTGACACTCAGCATTAAGGGGTTGGATTGGGAGGTTAAACCATCAAATGGTTCCCGAGTGCGGCTGTGTCTGCAGCTCACCGCTCCCTCAGGGGATGGGTCAAATGCGGAGAACGAATTTTGCGCACACATCAGTGTGTGTGACAACTAATGGGACTTTTAACTTTACACAATTGGCTGATTGAAATAAAATTACTTTGTTTGTGCTCAGTTTCACTGTTGTCAGGGAAGTTTATTTGTCTCAGGGATGCTAAATAGTTAATGCATGTGGGCTCAATCACACAGAAAACACATTAACAGCTGACATGCCCACACTTAAAACGTGTGAACACACACACACACACACATGCACACATGCACAAACACAGACACACACTCGCTAAAGCTGCTGATGCTTGTTGAATCCGTGCATAACGTCACTGCCAGGCAGTAGGTGGGTGTGGTTTTTCTCCGGCTGGTTAAACATACCAGAGCTTAAAGCCTGAACAGCCACACACATCCACTCCTCCTAATTTCTCACCGCTGCTCATGACTTCTTCAGCATTTGCAAGGTTGTTTCTTGTTTTTTCGCTACAAAGGGGATTTTATTTTGTTTAATTATCGTTATTTTAGTCATTTTTGCTTTTATTAGCATCATCGTTGTTAATATCTCTTTTATTTTTTTTCTTTTCATAATAAACCCGGACACATCAGTTTGCTGAAAGCTGGTTGACAACCTATTCATCCAAAGAGAAGAGTTTGACCAAAGCTGACACCCTTCTCGTGAAAACCAGAAGAGCTCATCACAACGTGACTGAAGATGAAAATGTCACTGCTGCTGTCGGTCCTGATATGTCTGTCAGCTGTCCAGCTGTGTGCAGGAGCTCAGCCTGCGCAGGATGTCGTCCCAACCAGTGAGTAGAGATATTGATGAAAATGCAAGGGGCAAGCCTGAAATGTCATGTGAAGTGATGTCACCAGGGAAAAAACAGAAACAGGTCAGAAAAAAGTCTCAAAATGGGGGTGTATGTGCAAAACCCTTCATATCTGATCTATAAGAAATTTTGGTAAAAGCATATAGTCTCTTGTTGTTAGAAAATTGGTGAGAAAACAGACCTATAGCTTGCAGGAAGGGAAGGGCAGACTGCATATTAGCCGTCTATCCAGTCATGAAAACACTTAGTCTAGTGTCGGGATCACGGCCAACAACCTGGGAACCTGACAAACACAACCGCTCGCTTGCGTGACAGGCACTGTCAAAACAGGCAACTCCTGCGACGGCCTGGACAAATTCAGGTTTAAACCCTTTATCAAAGAACACATTGTACATTGAGAAGTACATATTTAGTTCAGGCTGTGTGACATCATGGAGAACTAATTTGTGTGTTTGTGAACCTGAGTCGTAGACGTGGACAGCTCACTGCTGTGTGGTTGGGTTCTGTGAGTAAGAATGTGAGACTGAGCCAGAAGAATCCATCATTGTTGAAAGGCTGTTGCATTTGGCTGAAAATAGAAAGGAATTAGGAATAAAAAAGCAACTGAACATTAGGACCATTCAGTAGCTCAATAAGGACATTCATTCAGGACAGGATAAATCAGAGGTTTAGTCACATTCCTGATTTGCATCGTTGAGGCCAGATCTTAAGAGTGCAACATTAGGTGTGATCTGCTGCATTTGCTTGTACTGAATATTATGAACATCACTGTTAAACTGGGTGTGAATAGAAAGCACAATGGCAGCTAGTTGGCAGAACAAACAGGACCGTCAGCTTTTGCATTGATTCAGCAACAAGAATCACAGAACATGGGGGGGCAAGGCCTTAGGGTAGACCCCAGATTGATGTAGAGATTATACAGTATGCTAGCGTTGGATTAGATTTCTAATTGTATTCTTGGAAAAGCTGGAGGTAGGAGAGGGAAGTCTGTAGATTTTAGGACCAGCAACCCAAACTCATAAAAGCTACATAGGTAGGATGGATAAATGGATGGGTTTGATCTCCAGCACTGCTAAATTCCAGTGCCAGACCAGATCAGTGGTCTTGATGTGTTCTCACGATCTTTCGTGCATGCAAGTGTTTACCTACATTTGAAACAGTCTGGCATCTTCATTATGTTTGATAGGACAGCAGTAGCTCAGGAGGTAGAGCAGGCTGTCCAGTAATCAAAAGGTTGCAGGTTTGTTCCTGGCTACCTCCAGAGAATGCTGCGGTTGTGTCTTTGGGCAAGACACATAACCTGCCTTGCCTGCTGGTGGTGGTCAGAGGGACTGGTGGCACCAGTGTTCGGCAGTGCACTCCATGACAGCTGTGGCTGCACTGAAGCTTATCATCACCAGTGCATGAATATGTGGATGACTGATGGTGTTGTGAAGCGCCTTGGGGGGTTGTAGAACCCTAAGAAGGCGCTATACAAATACAGGCCATTTACAACCTAATTCCCTCACAGGACAAGTACCTCTTCTGGGCGGCTGGTTTGAGACGGACCCTGAGTCACCTGATGTTCAGAAAGCAGTTCAACACGCTGTTCAGATGTTCAATGAAAAGTCCAAGGCCAAGAAGGTGTTCAAGCTGATCTCAGTTGAAAGTGCCAAGTCTCAGGTTGGATTGATCCTAAAGAATCCACACACCAAGTTAAAGCAGAAATCCAGAGTTTTTCCTCTGGAGGTACAATCTACAGGTGGAAAAATTTATTGCACCTTAAGCTCCTGTCCCTACTTGCCTGATTATGGCTGGACGAATCGCCTCTTGTTCTTGGACACTGACCTCTAGGTGATTAACAGAGCTAAAACACACTAAAACGTATTACAGTAAGAAATGTCACCAACCTCATCAGTCTAGGTACATCACAAACGCGCTCACACTGTGATTGACATCTGTACTTAGAGAGATGTGTAACACCATTGGTCATTTAAAACAGACTGGGGCTCTACTAGATGGGGGTTGGGCTTTGCAAAAAACAAAATGACTTGTCTACATCACCATACAGAGGAGAATGAGCCCAAACCCCTTTAATCCATCAATCAATCAACCAATCAATCAATCAATCAATCAATCAATCAATCAATCAATCAATCAATCAATCAATCAATCAATCAATCAATCAATCAATCAATCAATCAATCAATCAATGCTTAAAATTTGTTAAAATGACCCTACATAGCCCCCATTGCTATCCTTCCCACACCAATTAAAAGCATTAGCACAGTCGTAACATACCCCCTCCAACTCCCATACATCCATTTAAGAACATCAGTAAAAATGATTTTGGGCTGAGTTCCGATGTTCCAGATATGGTAGCGCAAGAAAACACCATCACAGGAGCCATCTGCCCCGGCAGCAGCAGGCCAACTGAAGCAGTTGCGGCACCAACACCAGGTGCAGGGGGGGGGGGGGGGGGGGGGGGGGGGGGGCATAGGTCTTTGACACCAGCGTCACCACGGGTCCTTAAGGGTTAATGGAATTTAAAAAATATCATACATAATTCCTGAAAAGAGGAAAACTCTGGATTGCTGCTTTAAGTTTTATCACAACACAAGTCTAATAGTGGAATCCTCTGGTCCTTTCCTCAGGTGACCAACACAATCAACTTTAAGGTTGAAACTGTTCTGGGTAAAACCAAGTGTCTCAAGTCTGAAAATCATGACTTGAAAAGCTGCAGCTTGGATCAAAAGGTACATTAGCTACTGCCTTTGTATTCAACACGTTTCAAATACTCTGTGGACTTCTGCAATTGTTTAGAAAAACTCTTTTTTTTTGGAGATTTGCAAAAAAAAAAAAGCTGAAAAAAAGCCCAAATGCATCTGGGAAAAACAACTCTTTGAAGGAAATGAATGAAAGAATCTGAGCATTAGACATAAACTTTAACATGATTTGACCTCTGATACAATAAAAAGTTCAACACGTTTTTTTTTAATCAAATAAAGGGAACATAAAAAAGAACACTAGATTTAGAACATGTAACCATCATTATTTTTTCTCTTTCACAGAGACTGGTGTGTACCTTTGATGTGACCTTCAAGGTCCGAAACAGCAAGTATCAGGTGCAGAATCAAAAATGCAAGAAGGTTGCGAAGAAGATTTAACATTTTTCGGACAAGATTACCAGCATTGATCTTCTTTCAGTCATTTTCATAAACAACCACACATTTTATTCATCAAGTATAAAGAAATTTGGATTTTTTTTGTAGAAATAAACAAGTCAATTTCATTTGGAAACCATTGCTGTGGGTTAATAAAAAATATTATGTTCTTCCCATATCAGTGTGGACCTCTGTTTTTTTCTTTATATAATTGTTTTCTAATTCTTCTCCCAAAAGTTGGGAACATTTGGTGTTAAAACTGGAAAAATTAAACAATTCACACTTCTAAAAGTTAATTGTATTTTAAAGTGTGTGTGGTGTGTGTGTGTGTGTGTGTGTGTGTGTGTGTGGGGGGGGGGGGGGGGTCTTTTAGCCATTATTGCACATTTAATAAAAATAATGTAAGAACAGACCATATTGATGACGATCCAGTGGAAGAACTCAATCATATTGATTATTGTTCAACTTTTTTTATGATTTGAATTTTCAAAATACTTTAACCCTTTAGGGGCCCCTCACTGAATAATCAGTTTAAAGGTGTGGTTCACTGAAAAAAACATTTTTTAATGATTATTAATCAGTAATGCGGGCATGTTACTGATCTGTCATGGTGAAGAGAGAGCTGAGCCGGAAGGCAAAGCTCTCAATTTACCATGCTGTCGTTCTATTTTTAAAACACAGAAACAGTTTCGTTACCTGTTTTTTTCGCTACGTTTCGTCTGCGGCTGCAGACTTCCTCAGAGCTGACGCTGATGGTGGCGTCACTTCCCTCTCCGTTTGTCCGCGGGCAAAAGAGGACGTTGTCGCCCTCTGCTGCCCGCTCTCCCCTCTCCGACGATGTAATCCCATGCGCGGTCCAATGTGTAAACTCCATCGTCCCTGTTCATGGTCCCACATCCACGTCTCCTTATCTCGATTGCTTCTTTAATCCATCTTTTGTATTTTTGTTGTTCGGTGTTTATGATCCTTGTGCTGTCCATTACATGGTTTTCTCTTGTGCAGTGATCTGTTACGGCTGACTTCTTTATAGTGCTTCCTGCTTCTTCTTTTGCTGCTCTTGTGTGTTTTCGACTTAACTCTTTCTCGCACTCCTTTCTATGTTCTATTGTTCGTGTGTTGAGTTGGCGTCCAGTTTCTCCTATGTATGTTTTATTGCAGAGCTTGCATGGGATTTCAAAAATGACTCCACATTTAAGTCCAGCTGATATTTTGTCTTTTGGGTGTACTAGTCTGTTTCTAACTGTTGTGTATGGTTTTGTTGGTGTGTTTATGTTGTGTTTTTTCATTGTTGCTCTTATTTTTTCTGTTATGCCTTTGATGTATGGTAGGGTTATCACTGGTTTTGGTTCTTGTCTTTCTGGTTTCTGGTTCTTTGCTTAGGTTGTTCTTTTCTTTCTGTTGTTGTTTGTTGTTTTCCTTTGTTTATTGCCCATGTCGGGTATCCGCAGGTCTCTAAAGCATGTTGTATGTGTTTGTCCTCTTGTTTACAGTCTCTTTCTCTTTCTGTTACCATGTTTGCTCGGTGATATAATGTTCTGATTACTGACATTTTGTGTATGGTGGGGTGTTCTGATGTCCATAATAGATATTGGTCTGTGTGTGATGGTTTCCTGTATGTGTTTATGTTTAGGGTCCCGTCGGTCTGCCTGGTTATTTTCATGTCCATAAATGCTATGCTGCCTTCTGTTTCTGACTCATAAGTGAACTTTATACTACCTGTGTCATCAATGTTATTTAAGTGTTGTGTTAGTGTTTCTGTTTGTCCTTTTGGTATGATATCCAGTATGTTGTCTACGTAGCGTTTCCATAGGTTTATTTTGCAGTTTGGGGGGGCAGTGGTGATGGCTTATTGTTCCAGGTCTTCCATGAAAAACTCACACAGGGTGGCTGATAACGGGTTACCCATGGCGAAGCCTTCCAGTTGTTTGTATATTGTGTTGTCTTATGTGAAGTAAGTGGAGTTAGCTAGCAGTCCTATCAGTTGTGCTATGTCATCTGCTGTGAGGTTTGTTCTTTTGTGTAAAGTTTTGTCTTGTCTGATTCTGTTAACTACTATGTCTATGGTTTTTTGGGTTGGTGTTTTTGTGAACAGAGATGTGACGTCATGTGAGATGAGTATGTTTTATCTTCTATTGTAATCTCCTTTAGTTCTTTTGCCAGTTCTATGCTATTTTTGCAGTGTTGGTCTGTATTTCCTAATAACGGGCTGATGATTTAGCTGATATCTCTTGCCATGTTGTATGTTGGTGCACCTATGCTGTCAACTATTGGTCTAAGTGGGGTGTTTTGTTTGTGTATTTTTGGCGTTCCATATATTCTTGGTGTTATGTTTGCTGTAGGAATCCAGTGTTTGTACATTTTTTCTGTTATTTTGCCTTTTTCTTGTAGTGGCTTCAGTAATTTTTTCATGTTTTTCTTAATGTTTTCTGTTGGGTCTTTTTTAAGTATTTTGTATGTATTTTTGTCCTCCAGCATCTGTTTCATCTGTTGTTTATATTTTTCTCTGTCCATTACCACTGTGGTTCTTCCTTTGTCTGCCGGTAGAATAATTATCTGTTCATTTTTGGATAAAGCTGCCATGGCTGATTGTTCTTCTTTTGTAATATTGCTGTGTTGAATTTGGCTGTTTTTTAATATCCCAACTACATTATTTCTAAGTTCTGCTTTCTTTCCCTCATCTGTGATCTGCTGACATGTTAGTTCTGTTGCTACAATGAATTCATCATATGGTATTTCTTTTGGTGTGACTGCAAAGTTTAAACCTTACTTTAAAATGCTCTCTTCTGCTTCTGTTTGTTCGTACTGTGAAATGTTACATACCCATGAGTTTGGTATGGAGTTATCTTGTATTTCCTCCCTCTTTTTCTTGTTTATGAGTTTGTTTAACTTCTTTATGTGTCTTTCTTTTACTTTTGAGAAGGAAGTGACGCCACCATCAGCGTCAGCCTGAGGAAGTCTGCAGCCGCAGACGAAACGTAGCAAAAAACAGGTAACGAAACTGTTTCTGTGTTTTAAAAATAGAACGACAGCATGGAATTAGAACCACGACACAGCAAGAACACACCTAAGATCTCGATTTACCAATAAATCAACGTTCCAACCAAGGGCGTAGGAACCGGGGGGGACGGGTGGGACGTGTCCCCTCCAATATTGGACAAATGCGCATTTGTCCCCCCCAATAACATGGAGAAGAAAAAGATTGATTTTGAAATATTTGACTCGCGAGCTTTTATTTTGAAAGACACCGCGGACTTCTCTCCGACACAGCCCCTCCCCTCAGACAGGCTGGCTGAGTGAGTGAAGCAGGAGTAAGAGCCGGGGCAGACACAGGTTCAGAGAGATGGCAGCAGCTCAGCGAGTTCTTCTCATGGGCAAAAAAAGAAAGAAAGGAATTGTGAGTTGGTAATAATTTAGTCCAAGAGTATAATTGTATTTCTGGTCAAACGCTAAAATGGCTGACTAGCGTAAACATCTTGCTAGTTAGCATTAAACATTAAACAACACTACTAGTCAACAAAAAATAGCGAATTTTACAGGAATAGACAAAAACCATTTGACACGAAATAAATAAAAATGTAGAATCTCCACATAAAAATGGAGTTTGTGTGACTGTTGCTTGTTTGTGACATTCTCATCACATTTCATTTGTAAACCTTATTCATGTCACTTTTTTCATATAAGAGACCAGAGGAAGTTAAGCAGGAAAATGATGAAGAGGGTGAGACAGACAGCGCCAGACCTGCTGAGGGTGAGACAGGGAGCGCCAGACCTGCTGAGGTGCAGGTAGGTGCTACAGTGGAGTGAGATTTTAGATGGTTGATGATGAGAGGAGATTCGAGTATGATAACAAGTGAACACGACTAAATAATACTATAACAACCATGATTTTAATGTTGCACTAGTCGTCCAACAGTGTTTTTACTCCTTATTCATGTCCACTGTTTTATATTAGAGATCAGATGAAGTTCAGCAGGAACCTGCTGAGGGTGAAACAGGGAGCAACAGACCTGCTGAGGGTGGTACAGGGAGAGCCAGACCTGCTGAGGGTGAGACAGGAAGAGCCAGACCTGCTGAGGGTGAGACAGGGAGAGCCAGAGCTGCTGAGGGTGAGGCAGGGAGAGCCGTACCTGCTGAGGGTGAGACAGGGAGAGCCAGAGCTGCTGAGGGTGAGGCAGGGAGAGCCAGAGCTGCTGAGGGTGAGACAGGGAGAGCCAGAGCTGCTGAGGGTGAGGCAGGGAGAGCCATACCTGCTGAGGGTGAGACAGGGAGAGCCAGAGCTGCTGAGGGTGAGGCAGGGAGAGCCATACCTGCTGAGGGTGAGGCAGGGAGAGCCGTACCTGCTGAGGGTGAGACAGGGAGAGCCAGAGCTGCTGAGGGTGAGGCAGGTAGAGCCATACCTGCTGAGGGTGAGACAGGGAGAGCCAGACCTGCTGAGGGTGAGACAGGGAGAGCCAGAGCTGCTGAGGGTGAGGCAGGTAGAGCCATACCTGCTGAGGGTGAGACAGGGAGAGCCAGAGCTGCTGAGGGTGAGGCAGGTAGAGCCATACCTGCTGAGGGTGAGACAGGTAGAGCCAGACCTGCTGAGGGTGAGACAGGGAGAGCCAGAGCAACTGAGGGTGAGGCAGGTAGAGCCAGACCTGCTGAGGGTGACAGGGAGAGCCATACCTGCTGAGGGTGAGACAGGGAGAGCCATACCTGCTGAGGGTGAGGCAGGGAGAGCCGTACCTGCTGAGGGTGAGACAGGGAGAGCCAGAGCTACTGAGGGTGAGGCAGGTAGAGCCAGAGCTGCTGAGGGTGAGGCAGGTAGAGCCAGACCTGCTGAGGGTGAGACAGTGAGAGCCATACCTGCTGAGGGTGAGGCAGGGAGAGCCGTACCTGCTGAGGGTGAGACAGGGAGAGCCAGAGCTACTGAGGGTGAGGCAGGTAGAGCCAGAGCTGCTGAGGGTGAGGCAGGTAGAGCCAGACCTGCTGAGGGTGAGACAGTGAGAGCCATACCTGCTGAGGGTGAGGCAGGGAGAGCCGTACCTGCTGAGGGTGAGACAGGGAGAGCCAGACCTGCTGAGCGTGAGACAGGGAGAGCCAGAGCTGCTGAGGGTGAGGCAGGTAGAGCCAGACCTGCTGAGGGTGAGACAGGGAGAGCCAGAGCAACTGAGGGTGAGGCAGGTAGAGCCAGACCTGCTGAGGGTGACAGGGAGAGCCATACCTGCTGAGGGTGAGACAGGGAGAGCCATACCTGCTGAGGGTGAGGCAGGGAGAGCCGTACCTGCTGAGGGTGAGACAGGGAGAGCCAGAGCTACTGAGGGTGAGGCAGGTAGAGCCAGAGCTGCTGAGGGTGAGGCAGGTAGAGCCAGACCTGCTGAGGGTGAGACAGTGAGAGCCATACCTGCTGAGGGTGAGGCAGGGAGAGCCGTACCTGCTGAGGGTGAGACAGGGAGAGCCAGAGCTACTGAGGGTGAGGCAGGTAGAGCCAGAGCTGCTGAGGGTGAGGCAGGTAGAGCCAGACCTGCTGAGAGTGAGACAGTGAGAGCCAGACCTGCTGAGGTGCAGGTAGGTGCTACAGTGAAGAATGAGATGGTTTTAGGTTGCTGAAGAGAGGAAGATTTGAATGTAATAATAAGTGAACACAGTTAAATATACTGTATGTAATCCCATAACAAGTAGGGCTGGGCAGTACGGTTTAAGAATAAAATAAATGCTTCCTTAGAAATATTAGAAAAATAAGTGTTAAACTCAGCTTTCTGGTGCATTTAGACTGCAGTTGTGGCCACTGTTTTTTCTTTTGCCCGCCTGAAAATTAACATAGTTCCAGCTGTTGTTGTAAGTGTCAGAAACAAACAGATTTTTCTGATTGTTGGTCAGCATTGTTGGCTGATGTAGTTTAAAATATTCTGATGAGAGTCAGATCAATTCAGACTGAATATATAAGATAATATATCCCACATTCATACTATTAAATAAAAATAAAACAGTACTGACACATAAACAGCTTTTTTATCATTAAAACGTCCACGTTGGCCGGTAATCACTTGGATCTGGCTGATGGGGAGCCTAAGTCTCCTCCCCTTCTGGCTGGCTCATGGGTCCCCGATCAAAAAAAAAAAAAGAAAAACAATGTTAGTGAACTGGGCTATAAAAGTTATTTTCTTGTCTTTCTGGGCTTTGTCTTATGCCCTGAGTCACATCTGTCAGGCTTTTCTAATCCTGGAGTTTCACCGTCTATCAGATTTTCTATCAGAAGCTAATGCAGGAGATAGCGGTAGGAGACTATGTTCATGTTCAGCCTGCATGAAACACTCAGTGACACGTTAGAATCAGAAATAATCATTAAATGTATTTTTTTCAGTGAAGTTGACCTAAATATTTAACTACAACAGATTTGTTAGATTTCCAAAATGTGTCCCCCCCAATATTAAACTCGTTCCTACTCCCTTGGTTCCAACCCTCACGATGGTCACGAGCTTTGGGTAGTGACAAGAAGCTGAAAAGAGTTTTCTCTGCAGGGTTTCTGGGCTCTCCCTCAAGCCTAGTTACTCCTCTGTCAGCTCCACGAAGGAGAGACACGCACACACGGATGGAGACAATTTGCCATCATACTTTTCCGTCCCTCTGTTGCAAAGCAATTCCCCGCCAGGACATTAGAGGGCGTTGCGCTGTTCTGTGGTATCCTGCCATGTATCCGGTCCAAGATATTGTGTTTATATATATATATATATATATATATATATATATATATATATATATATATATATATATATATTGCATTTAAGAGACTTTTTAACACAGACAAATTTGTCCCTCAGTCTCCTTCACCTCTTCATGCACTCGCCACCTCTAAACCCACGTTTCCCGTCGTTTCCGTCCACAAATAAAATGCTTGCGCATATTTTTACCCCTCCAGTCACTCCTCCAGAATAAAACGTTCGTATTTTAGAGTTTTTCTGCAAGATATTTTTCAAGCTGCTCCATGTCTGCCACCAGATATCTTTGGCTCTACTTATGTTTTTGAGGAGCTGTAGACAGCAGCGGCGTCCTGACCAATCACAAGCTTGCGCTCTCAGTCTCGATGGACAGATGTTTAGAAAAGAGAGCTCAACTCTTGACTGTCCTTGTGATGGCTCTCCAGCAGGCTCACAAGGACGGATAATGGCGTTGCGTGCGTCCGTCTCGACGCAGACGGAAAAGTATAAATTGGGCTTTAGAGATAGAGTGAGAAGCTTGATCATCTGGGAGAGCTTGGAGTAGACCCGCTGCTCCTCCAGATCGAGAGGAGCCAGTTGAGGTGGCTGGGGTATCTAGTTAGGATGCCTCCTGGACACCTCCCTGCCTGGTGAGGTTTTCTGGGCACGTCCAAAAGGGAGAAGGCCTAGGACACGCTTGAGAGACTATGTCTCACAGCTGGTCAGGGAACGCCTTTGATTTCCCCAGAGGAGCTGGCCCAAGTGGCTGGGGAGAGGGAAGTCTGGGCTTTCCTGCTTAGGCTACTGTACCCGCGACCCAACCCCGGATAAGTGGCCAAAAATGGATGGATGGAAAGACTGATGGACTAGGATTTGAAAACCTTGACTGCGTGAATCCACACTATCACTTAACATTCATGGACTCACTCATCTTGTCTTAGGACGGGAATGGCTGTTGTTGGTTTAGCATGCACAAATCAGCGGAGGACGACTTGGCTAGCAAGTTATAACGTCAAAAAATAAAGATCCAACATTGTAGCCAGACAACTTCAATGTAAGATACTCCATCATCATAATGACCCATACATCATCATCTTGCTAACTGAAATAAAACTAAATATTATTAAACGACACACATACATACATACTGTACATGTATGTACATCCTCTTGGTTGGTTTGAAGGTTCAGAAACTAAGTTAATATTCTCTCATAGAGATGGAATTTGCTCTTGACAAGCTCATCACCCAGACTATCATCCCTGGATCTCTACCAGGATACAAAGCCACAGCGACTGAGCCACACACTCTTTCCATTTCTAATAAGACTGCTACTTCAGTCTTCTTGGCAGATTTCACTTGGAAACTTTATCTCTCAGTAAAACATCCAGATTTATTTTAATCCACCTACTTATAATGTCAGAGGAAAATTCGACTCATCATTTAATAATTAGAGGCTGCCTGAACTAGCAGTTGTTAGATCTTCAACCATTTCACACTACATGTGTTTTATTTTAACATTTCATTCTATTTTAAAACCTAAAACAACCCAAAAATTGACAAAATTTCAAGCAGCCTATTATTTTTTTACAACATTTTATAATAAATTATTAAAATGTTTGCCTCTAAAAGCATACATTTGTGAAATACTGTGTAATTCTTGGTCAACACTGTCACTTCTCTTACACATACTCTTGCTGGGTGCAGTCAAACAGATTTGAACTTGGCACAACTTTCAGGATGGTTCTGAGGCAGTGACTGGATGCATCCAATCATAAACAAACAGCAGGTTTGTGTCCAAAGATCACTTCTAGCTGATGACGCCACAGTTTTTTTTAATGAATCTTGTTGTGAGTCATTTAGGCTCCTTTTTGTTGGATCGCCTCCACCGAGTAAAGCATTTCTTGAACGATTTGAAAGAGACAGGAAGAAAAACTTAAGAGGAAATCCATGTAGCTCTTTAGAATCTTTGATCCTGATTCATTCTTTGGTTTCCCACAGTAAAAAAATAACAAACACCTCAAACTTTTAGAGTAATGTCTTCATTGTAAAACTATGATTTTGCTTGTCAGAACACTGAATCATGAAAAGGGTTAACTCATGAACATGTGTCCCATGATGCAATGCAGGCTGGGATCTGGACATCCCCATTCCAGGTCCGACACTCACCTCGGAAGAGGAAGAAATGAAGCGTCTGATTAACTGGTCCCCTTTTTATTGACAAACCCACCCATTTATACATAATGTCCACAGATCTCACAGCTTGTGTGCATTTTTATTTACAGGTTAGCAAAATCACCAAGACAAGGAGAAAAGCTAGGCTCAAAGTTCCTCAGATGTTCTTTTATCCTTTAGTGACTCAGTTCAACTCTGTCAGACGCTGGTCTCGATGTGAGGAGATGTCCTGCAGTTTAGCATGTTGGACAGGAGCCTGTGCTGTTGGTGGTACCTTACACACACACACACACACACACACACACACACACACACACACACACACACACACACACACACACACACACACACACACACATACACACACACACACACACCAAAGGAAACACATGAATTCTAGCACCCTCCTCAGGTCAAACAACTGTTGTTAGATGTTAATTTTACATTTTTACTTTAAGTGCAGAAAATTAAATCATGCAAAATAAATCCATGGCAAGACCTCAGACTAAATTATCTTAATAATGAATTCATTAACTTGGAAGCCCATCTCCGCCACTTCGATAAAAACAAACAAACAAAACAAAAATAATAAATAAATAAATAAATAAATAAATAAATAAATATTTCTTTTTTGCTAAGTCATAATTATGAGATAAATGTTTATTTTTAATCAGAATGACAGGAATGGGCTTCCATACAAATTGAAAAGCCTGTTATAAAAAATGTTTTTTGCAAAGTGTGCTACATAAATCATTTCAAATAAGCTTTTCAGAAGAAAATAACCTAATACTGCTAACTTACTTGTTAATGACCCTTTGAATCTCTCTGTTTTCTGCCTCTTTAAGTTGAATTAAAACTTGCTTCAAGATCGGAAGCTCCAAGTTCAGATACTGAGCAACCTGAGGAGAAAGGTGAAATATTTTTAATGATGTGGTGTAAATGGATATATAATAATAAAATAATAAAAGCATTCTGAGACCACTTCCTTAAAAAAAGCTAATATTGGGAGTAATTTCTAACCCCGTTCTGCTTTTACTCTACCTGGCTGAAAAAAGAAAGTTAATTGCCTCTCTTTTGAAACATTATTGTGTTACAACATTTCCTCTATCAGAAGTTAAATCTGCCAGGTTACACGATTAAATTATTTCATTGCAGCATTTTAACAACATCTGTCAACACCGACAGGGTCTCTCTGTGTTCTTTAGGGGCTGACACTGATGCTATTTATTTTATCATGCCATTTTAGTAAAATAAAACATGCAAATAAAAAAGTCTACATAAAAACCCAAATAAAAACTGAAATACATCTAAATAAAAAGTGTAGTTATTAAGTCAGCACACTCACATCATTGCTAACTTCCTCTTCGTACATGTCCATCAGAAAGATCTTCATGATGTCATCAGAGGGTCCCTGCAGTATGCGCTCCCACAGCGGGTAGTCCCTGTTATTCAGCTTCTTCTTCTCTGAACCAAACACCCACATCCATAACATTACACGTAGTTTTCATGCAGTATGATGATTTATTTATATTAAACATTTGAATGGATCAACCACACCTCCACTCTGGTGAATGCAGTACAACGCAAACTCCTGGGGATCGTTTTCTATCTGGTGGAGCCAAACAGAAATATCAGCTTTAAACCTTTGAGTGGTGAATCTAGATTTTTTTATATATAGCACTAACTAAGCAAAGCTAACCTTGAATTTGTGTAGGAGCTGCACGATGACTTGATCTGTGGTCATGTTGCTGGAGATACGAACTTTAGTTGAAGTACCAAAAGATGGAGTGAATATTGAAGTCTGCAGAAAAAAATGGGATGTTTTTGTGGACTGGTCCAAGTAAAGGAAAACAAAAGGTTTATTTATGAAAATTATAAAAGCACAAAAGGACAAAAATAAATGTTGTGAATTTACTTTATAATTATAAAAGTGTCCGTTGATTGAGAAACGATGCTGTCTTTCTTCCTCTTGTTGTGCTGCTGGCTTCCCTTTGCTCCTCCTCCTTTTGACCAACGAGGCGTCGCTCATACAGCGAAACAGGTTAGTCTCTGCCTCCAGCTCTGGATTCTTCTGCCTCATCGGACGCAGGGTGGCCGTTTCATACACGGGAGGGCCTGTGGGTCATAAAGAAACACACACAGCATAAAGAAATCACTTTAAATAAAAAATGTGGGCCAAAATATATTTGGAATTATTAACCAAAAATTCCACAACAAACCATAGAAATGTGACAGACTTTCTGGCTATAAAACATTTGATTTGCAAACCTAATTAGAAGAAAAGAAATTAAAAAATGCAACAAAAAACTTAAGTTTAAGATAGTTTTTATTCTGTGGCTCACTCTTTAAAGCTGCTGAAACACTTTTAAACCAATACATTTTTGTCAAGGGCCATCAGCCAAATTTTTTACTTAATATTATGATTTGAAAAAATATTTTTATTCATGTTTGCTTTACTTTTCAAAATGTTTTACTTTGTTCATTTTTTCCACACTACTATCTTTTTTTTATAAAAACTTTTACAATATAGAAGCCACGTATCCTCATTTTCTCAGGTAAAATTTTTATTTTACTCTTTATACTTTACTTTTTCAGTTTAAGTTTCACATCCTTTTTGTTTTTCCATCAAAACTTTTAAATTCTTTTACTTTTAAGGATGATATGAAAACCGAGCTACTTATTTTATTCAACCAAACTTTTGGTTTAATTTTTAAACTTTAAAGATACGTTTTTAACTCTTAACAAAAAAAAAAGCCAAACTTTGTATTTCGTGTCATTTTCATTATATTCAGGTTTCTTTTATTGGCAGCAAACCAATGTTTAAATTGTGCTCAAGTGTTCAACTACACTGTACTTGGAATTTGAAATTAGCCTTCAAAATCAGTGACCACCAAAGAGAACACCAATGAATTGAAATCCTACATTTCTTCAATGGAAACTCCCAATGCCACAGCCGTGGTGGTGCAGTTGGCAGCACTGCTGCTTACCAGCAAAATGGTAAAATGTTTGCATGTTCTCTGTGTGCATGCTTGGTTTGTCTCCCTGTGCTCTGGTTTCCTCTCATTACCAAACATGTCAGGAAATGTACCACATTACTATACCCACAATTATAAGGTGATTTGGATAAAAGTGTCTGTTAGTAAATAAAGATAAATTCAAGAATTCAGGAAAATCTCACTAAGCGACTAAGGCCTAGTCCACACGTAGCCGGGTTTTTTTTAAAAACGAATATCCGCCCCTCCAAAAACTGGCATCCACACCACCTCGTTTAAAAAAAAACTCTGTCCACACGTACCCCAATAAATACGTTGTTAAGGACATGCCAGACCTGTAGGCGGCAGTACTTCCCCCGTTCTTAACCTCGTTCTTCGTCTGTGGTCTTCCTCAAGGAGCAGTAATTCCGCTTGCAAAAACAAACAAGCAAAAAGCGCTTGGACAATTGATAAAGCGAGCGCAGCTCTGAGGGCATCCATGCTGTCGGCTAGTGTAAACACAGGTCGCACACGTGATGTCAGCATTTTTTTGTCGCGGAAAGTGACGTTGCGGACCTTAAAACTCCGGTTTTGTCTGTCCACACGCAGACACCCAAAACGGAGAAAACGCAGATCTTCACTTTGGCCGGAGTTTTAAATAAGATCCGTTTTTGTGTGAAAAAACTCAGTTTTCCTGTGGATGACAGGCCAAAACGTAGAAAAATATCTACGTTTTGGCATATCCCCGGCTACGTGGGGACAGGGCCTAAAACATCTTCAAAACTTAAGGTGGCACTGCTTTTCATCTATGTGTATCAATAACACCTTCATCAAAATGGCTACAGATGACATTATAACCATTGTTTGTTACGACAGCCTGCGGCTTCGTTATAAAATGCAGCCAGGAACTGTTATTGTGCAACAAGGAGTTCTAATTATCTCCCGACACAGAAACGCAACAGAGTCCCCCAGGAACATAATACTGAACAGATGATTGAGGACAATAAATTCTTCTGTTGTCAGATGAGTCCACGCTTCAATAACTGCATCGGTTTCTAAAAGATTAAACGGATGAATAAACAAAACTCTCATTTACTGTACTGTCTTGGATCAAATTTAAGGATTTTCGTTTTTTCTGCTGCATTCAACTCAGTTCAATGTAAAAGACGGAACTTCATTTGACAGTTTTGCTGAGAAAACATAGCCTGGCAAGTGTATATATATATAGTCTGGCCACGACTCAGACAGAGCTTAGTCTTGGGGCGGAGTCTACGTTTGTCTTTCAGTCTTTCTCCGCATTGCAATTGGACAGCGCTGGGACCAATCAGAGCAATGAACAATGTCACGTGTTCATTGCTAAGGAAATCAGAAACAGGTAAGCCTGTCAAAGAAGAAGACAATGAAGCAAATGCATCCATTTGGGATATAAAGGACTTATGTCCTTATATCTGCTCCTGTCTCAAAGAAAAGCTCAAGTCTAAATCATCTAAAGTTGATGTCAAAGCCATTTCAAATCAGAACCGTTTTTTTTAATAGTTTTTCTCCTTGAAAGCGCTGTCGCTAAGCCCGCCCAAACATCGAAACAATGTGATTGACCGGATCTAAAACTGTTCAGCCCAACAGTAGACCTGCTGAGGCTACAACAGAGTGTGGCTAGACAAACCTGCAGAGCAAAATCCTGCTACTGCTATAGTTCGTCTAGATTTCTAGGCTAGAAAAAACAAAATAAAGGGAACTTTTGAAATTGACCTGGTAGAGGATCTTTGACCACTGTTTCATGTGCAGCCTCTGACTCTGCCACTTCGTCTATCTGGTGAAGATTATTGTATTCTCCCCATCGTGACATACTGCTGCAGAGACAGAGAGACAGACACACACCTTGAGACCAGATATCCTGAAACCATGCATGTATTTAACTGTTGATATGGAAACTCATGTGCAGCACAAGCTGCTGAAAACCTGAAGTCTAACCTCTTGCTTGCCACTGGGCTGACAGGACTGGTAGGATCAGGTGGGAGCAGAGGTGCAAAGGGTAGAATCTGTTTGTCATCCTGTATTTTCAACCTAATTGGTCGCCGTACTCCCCAGGAGATATTCAAGTAGCCGTCCACTATCACCTGTCCGTCTGCACACTGTTACAAACAAACCCAAAGAGCTCTTTATGCTGTGCTGCATCACATGTTTATGTAAGATACATGCAAAAACTGCTTTAATGCATTAAAAGGTTACCCCAAAAACTTTAACACTTTAAATTATCACTTTCAAAATGGTGTCAGTGGTTCTTGAGAAACTTGAGAAACTCAACTGCAATAAAGAAATGAAAATGAAATGAAATGAAAAAAATGAAATGAAATGAAAAGCGTTATTTGTCCCAGGGAAGGGAAATTAGAGTTTCAGTACACACAATTCAGAGATCATACATACTGGACAAGACACATGACAAGAATTGGTGACTGTGGACATTTGCAACCGAGTTGCGCTACCTTAATAGAGAGAGAAAAGGATAACATGAGGAATGGATTCGGGAGGAGGGGGAAAAAAGGCACTTCACAGCTGCTCTCCCCCCAGGAGGGCAGCTTTGCTCTGTGAAAAAACAAACAAACACCTCAACAGATAAGCAACAGATAACAAAACACAACATCACAATAGGAAGGCAGGGGGGGCTGGGATCCTGTTTCCCCCAGCGAGAGCAGCCATGTACGGCATGTACGGCTCAACCACTGTAGACCACAGGTGGGAGGGAGATCTTGGGAGGAACGCAGAGCACATTGACCCTGCAGGTTGATGACCTCACTAGGCAGAAGTCCACAATCTGAAGACCGGGGGGGTGTGTGTGTGTGTGTGTGTGTGTGTGTCAGGTTTTTCACAGCATCTGTCTGCATTCCTTCCTTCGTGGGGGTTGTTGTTGTTGGCATCTTGAAGGCTGTCTTGGCATCAGATTTGGATAACAAGACTTTGTTTGGGTCAGGCAGAGATAATTTTCCTCTCTGCCTTCAGTCTGTAACTGGTCATTCCAGTCCTTCAGTGAAGCCAATTTAGGTGTTAAACATCTCCACACCGGTGACCCTCTCCGAGATGACTTCCATTTTGCGCACTAACACCGATAACGCAGCTAGGACATTGCCCAGCTTACGAATCACCTCGAGTAACGTCCCAGTCTGTGAGGTCTCCGCCCGGGCGGTGCTTCCTGTGGGTGCGGGTCGCCCTCCAATCGCTCCCGTCTTCCCAAATTTCCAGAAAACCAGATATTCTCCCACTCCAATCAGAAGAAATCCAGTGATCATCAGGCCAAATATCCACATATCTTCAACATCCTCAATGGACAGCTGAGAGAGACATACGATCCTCCACACCTTCCAGGAATCGAGCGCATATCCCGCTGCGTGTGTCCCTTGCAGGCAAGTGGGAGCCCCCTCCTCCGTTCTCATCGTAGAAAAAATCTTATCAATCGCGTTGAATGACCAATTAATTAAATCCATTTCTGAAAAAATAGGGATTTCCAGAAGAAATGCAGAGAAGCGCTCTGTAGGCAGACAGGACAAAGAGCCTTGGGAAAAAAGATAAGGGAGCAAAAGCAGAAGCGTCTGTACTCTGCGAGTGACGGAAGAAGAGGAAGGGTAACTCCAAATGAGTGAATGCAAAGATCTTAAAGGTGTAGAACACTTGTTTAATCAACATATTTGCAGTGGTCTCTGGTAGGAATGAATGCCTTGCAAGCTGTACTCAGGGTCCGAAAAGCCCAGAAATACCTGAATCGCTCTGCTGCAGCAGAGTGGCACAACACGGCAGGATGTGGAGGTTTATTTCCTGATATTTGGACATCTTGCCTTGGATTGGATAACAGCAATGGAATTCTAACACTGACTCTGTTTGCTCTGCGACATGGATGTTTTATCTCCACCAATAACACAAGCCTGGAGAAGCTTCTGAGTTGCTAATGCTAACGATTAACTTTTGCTAGCTGAGACGCTTTCTGCTGTCTCCTGGATGCTAAAACAACGACAGCAATCCCCGTCACGAGCCAAAATGGGCAAGTCCAAGCGACTGCTTGAAGTAGATAGGTCGGGCTTTTCCAATTCTGGGGTTTCATCGACTATTTTCTATCAGAAGCTAATGCAGGTAATATGTGTAGGAGACAATTTTCATGCTCAGCGTGCATGAAAACCTCAGCGTGGCCAATTAGTATCAGAAATAATCATTAAAAATTGGTTTGTCAGTGTTCCACACCTTTAGGTAAATAATACGTAAAACATATAGCTCTTAGAGAACATGTGGAAGACTCTCAAGGTGTGAAATTTTAGCTTAACACTTGTAATACTCTTGCAGCCATTTTGTGTTTGGGAATGCTGATTAGCTGTGGTGGCCATCTTGAATCAGACTGACATCAAAAGGTAACCAGTTGGAGTTAAACAGTTGTTCATGGGATATTTAACAAACAAGCACACCCACACTGACATCAACACAACAAATATGGCCCACCTTGTGCCCTTCTACAGTACTGGATAATAAATGAAAAACAGATTTGAAAGAAATCTCAGGCATACCTGAGAATAGGTGAGATGCAGCTGAGTCTGGTCCTTTAGGAAGCAGTTGTAGGTGTTCACCAGAGACAGAAACGTTGCTCTAAAATACAGAAATGTTAAACAAGGCAACAACAAAGAAGCAAGATGAAACATAAACTTTTAATTCAGATAAGAGCTAAAAGCATTGGCAAAAGAAAAAATCAAAACCTGGTGAGGATCCTCCCATTTCCTGTTTGGATGAATGCTGCGTTCATCTCTGTTCTGCTACTGCAGAGGAAAAGACAACAATTAAGGAGTAAACACCTCTTTTTAGTGCACATAGCTACAAAAGGAAAGCAGGCATGGCTAGTCATGAAACAATGAGGCCAGAACACAAACACTGCAGCCTTGAGCAGATGAGTCCAAAGGCCATGCTGCTGCTCACGCTGCTAAATAAAGACTCTCCTGCATAACCGCAAACAAAGACGGCCACTGAAAATGGATTTATCACCAACACGGTGTTACTACTTCCAAACATAACCACGGAAATAAGAGTCTTACCAGCTCAAACGTGAAGATTTTCCTGTGGATTCAGCGTCTTTGTCTATTTCTTTCTTATAAGCTTTAAATACCTTCATTCCTTCTGTGCTTCTGAAGTTTTTGTTATATTTATTCTTCTCTCTGCAGCCGTTGCTTCTCTCTTTCACTTTCTTTTTTTTCCCCTGCTCGTCTCCAAGAGATTTAATAACAGTACTCCACCCAGTAACCAGTGATGACAGCGTAGATTTGTTTACATTATGGTCAGAGTCGCTGAAAGCTGTGACTGGAAATCGCTGCTCTCTATTCTGTGTTCGACTGATCATTGGTATTTCTGAATTGTTGTGAATGTGGCAGCCGTCTGAAAACAAGCAGTCCACATGACTGACAGTTTCTTTCATCTTGTTTTGCCTCAGCCTGTTTGCTGGTTAAAAACATCTCAAATATTCAACAGTCATAATTATAAAACCTTCTCCACTCCCCTTTGACTGACGTTTCTTTTGTTTAATAGGATGAATAAAGAAGTGCAGAAAAGTGCAAAATACAGATTTCAGTGCAGCAATTCTTAGACAATGTAGAAAAAGCAACATGTTTTTTGAAAGAAAGCAACATTTTAGATCAATATTGCATCAATAAAATTATATACAGTGTGCTATATTGACATAAGCATGTTTAAGTCACCCTTTAAGGAACCAAATTTGCAAGTCAGTACATGGAAATTAAAGGTTTATTTGACATTTTACAATAAGAATCATTTTATTAATGTTACACAGTGCATTATTAAGCATTAATAAACAAAGGATCCTTTTGTTAAAGTTGCCATTATTGTTAATTAAGTGTCCAGCGGCAGTGTGTAGTTTCCTGGCACTAGGGAGCAGTCCATACATTTAAGGGTATAGTTTTACACCACATCACCGTGACTGTTGCTAGTTTAAAGAGACAATATGTAGTTTCTACCATTACTTTCTGCAAATATCCATCAAAATGTTGTTGAAAATTAATGAATTGGTGCCCAGTTGCAGAAAAATATTGGCGGCTTTGTAACATATAACCATAAAAATCTGGTCTGGGTGACGCCATATTACTATACAAATGGTTACAAAACTTGCATCACTCAATGTTATTGTTTTACACATTCACCTGCTCACATGTTGCCAGTGGTGAAGGGGAGTCTGATGTTCTTGTTATTTTGCTAAAGTTTGCACTCCTCAGAGCTTTTTGACCCTAATGGGCATCTGTTGATAAGGTCTTACTCCAACACAAAAATACTGCTTTTAATGTAATTTCAAATTAAGTATTTTTTTCCCTTTTAAAATCTGCAAAACATTTACCACTGTATTGTTTTACTTTTTAGTTATTTTTAAGTTTATTAAAATGTTTATTTTGCCCTACATATTAAGATTTAAAGACATTCCTCAAGATACAAACTCACAATATGAATAACTGCTGAGGCACCAAGTCATCTGTATATTTACATTATTTTAGTTGACATTAATCTATTTTTTATTTGTTATTCATCTCCTTTGGTAATCTGCCAAACAAAATACGACAGGCCAAACACAATGAGCACTGTGGGCTTTTTTAGGAACTAACAGTCAGATTTGAAAGAGAAGCTCAGATGAATTATTGAGAGCTGCATTCCATATCTGCAGCTGTTCAAACTGGTTGTTCTGTGGAACAACTTCCTGTAAGTGGATTCCTGAACAGACCTGTCCCGGTCATACAGACGGTCATACAGAAAATCATTAAAGACCCATCACACCCTCTTCATACTGTTTTCGAGTGGCTGCCCTCCAAACGCCGACTTCGATGCCCATGCTGTAAAACACAGAGGAGAAGTTCCTTTGTTCCCAGAGCTGTGCTTCTTCTTAATTCTCAGTGCAGATAGGGGGAGTGTGCATTACTTGTATGTGTGTGTGCATGTAGTTACGTGTGTGTGTGTGTGTGTGTGTGTGTGTGTGTGTGTGTGTGTGTGTGTGTGTGTGTGTGTGTGTGTGTGTGAGCCAAAGTTTTAATCATTGTTGGTCATTCACATGTGAGTTTATGACATGATTGTGTACATAGGTTTTTATGGGTTTTACAAATGTGTAATTTGGATGTGTTTTTAGAATTTAGAGATTTTAGTGCCGGCTGCTTCACAATGCTGTCTCGAATTGCCCCTCGGGGACTAATAAAGTTGTCTTGAGTCTTGAGTCTTGAGACTTGGATTGATGCACACCTAACATCGAGTTAATGTACTTAGCCTTTGTGCGTGTGTGTGTGTGTGTGTGTGTGTGTGTGTGTGTGTGTGTGTGCGTGCGTGTGCGCTTCAGATTTCCATATCATGCATGAGAAAAATGGCTACCTGAGTCATGACGTCAGAAAAGCCTTTTGATAAAGGAAACACCTTGAGCTCTAAATGTAGCCAATCAACATACTCACTGAGGTGTGTTCATTTTTAGAACACTGACTGAAAAGATCTCAAGCTCTTTTATGAAAAGCAAACAAAACCCCCACATTTTGGTTTGCCACTGGACCATTCATGCAAGAACATTTTTGTGTTTTGGTAGCAAATGCAAATTTAAACTGGTGACCAGCATGAGGAAATGGTACCAGGCCTGTTGTGGCTGCACTCGGCTCTTCCACATGCTGTTAGATTACAAGTAAATCTTGTCTCCTGGAACTTCAGCCATACAATCAAATAAATGACACCAAACAAGCAGAAAACATTGTTTGGCAGAGAATTTTTGGCATTATCGTTGTTGGTTAAAACCCACAAACTCAACTGTTCTGCTCAAACAATAAATACATTTTCTGGCTCCGTTCAAAAGGAATTAAACAGAATTAGATTCGCTGTCAAAAGTGTCAATTAATTAGTAATTAGAAGTATTAATGCATTAATTATTACAATAAATAATTAACCAACCAAATACTTCAACTTTCTGCTAATTTAAACTGATTTTAGAAGTTATTTTAAAGCAAACATTTCAGAAAGCAGTTGTTGATGTTGCACTAACTGGTTCTATGGTGCTTTGTTGTTGCCTTTTAAAGATGATGTTCAAGTCTTTACGTGGATAATGACACACTCAACCAGTACGCACCCAGTCTCTGACTTTATGACCTTCCTTTTCCCTTCTTCATTGATTTGTCTTTCTGTTATACCCCGTCCTCATGGCACATTTACGATTTCTTGATTGCACATTCTGATCTGATTTTATTTGGGTCTACAGGTTTCAAACCTAGACACTTTGTCCGAGGTAACAAAATCACGATGGAACTCCAGCCATAATAAATGTCAATTGTGAGATAAACTTTTAAATTTACAAAATAAATGACACATTGACAATGAATTTGGCAAACATTTGTCAGTAGTTTAAGATGAAAATGGTTGATTCTTTTTTATAGAAAACAATAGGTGTACGTAGTGGTAGTAGCTCCAGCTAAAGCCTTCTAATTTGATTGTCAGAGGAACGCTTCTTCCTACCTGTGCAGTTCAGCCTTTAGATCTCCTATTAAATTGTTGCAGGTCCATTACATGTTTCGAGTCTTGTTTATGAATCTGAGTGACTGTGTTCAAAGGTCTGGTGTATAGTTCGTGTGGCGGGAGGTGAGCCTTTGCAGCAACACCGCAGCAGCTGGTTAATTATTGCAAAACACGTTGAGACAGCGTTTAGAGGGAGTGGCTGACTGACACCAGATATGACTTGCCTTCAGAATGTGTGTGTGTGTGTGTGTGTGTGTGTGTGTGTGTGTGTGTGTGTGTGTGTGTGTGTGTGTGTGTGTGTGTGTGTGTGTGTGTGTGTGTGTGTGTGTGTGAAGAAAGAAAGACATTATGAGCCACACATGACAGAAGCATGCTGGTGTGCATTCAGCTGCACAATTAGAGGTAGAAAAAGAGCTCACATAGCCAACATAGAGCACTACATACCACAAAATGGATATTTATGTGGTGCAAATGTCTTTGTGTTTTTTTCACCGGGAACTTGATTGATTTGATTTGATTGATTTGATTTTTATTGATTAGCATTCAAATATTCCAATGAATACAGAATAAAGATTACCACAAAGCAAGAAACACAAAACAAGGCTAATCAAAAGGTATTGGCTGAAGCATTTGCTTATTACGCCAACCCTTTTAAGAAAGATCTTTTTGCATGAAGCTCCTGGAGCTGCATGCTGAGAATAAAACAAAACAAAACAAACAAACAAACAAGCAAAACAAACAAACAAAACAAAAAAATGTACACCTTAGATAAGTAACTACATCAAAGCAAAACAATCAAGAGGTTCAGTATTATTTTTGCTCTTTTCATTCTTGGTTTATATATTTTTCTAATATTCTATTTTTAAACATATTTTTAAACAAGGACAATGAACTACATCTTTTTAAATCACTGTCATAGCTATTCCACAGGTTGACTCATCTAACAGAAACACATCTCTGCTTTACAGTTGTCCTTATCTTATTTTTGTTAAAGAATTCTGTTCCCCTTAAGTCATATTGACTCTGTCTGACTTTGAACAGCTTCTGAGTACTGCAGCAAAGCAAGTTATTTTGTGCTTTATACATTATCTGTGCCATTTTATGAAGTCACAGAGAAAATGTCTATCTTTCACAGGTACACAACAACAGCTACACCTATTCACATTCTTAAAGATATTGGCCAAATTTTCTTTGAATAGCATGTGTAAAAAGTATTACAGTCTCAGGTGTAAAAGGTTTTTGGATTTTCACAGCTGATTTTTTCATTATTTCATGATAATAATGCTATCGCTAATGCTAACAATCAGTATGTGCTAGGATCTACTTGTAACTAACTTTTTATACCTTTTTAAATCCAAATTTCTGGTACGTTTGTTTGATTTCAATAAAGTATAAATGCCACGTTACAACACTCAATTAACTGCCTAGAGCATTAGCACTCTGCTATTTGCAGTGAGGACACACAAAAACATTATAAAACGGTTAAGCTGTCATTTTGTGGCTGTTTCTAAGCAACCGTTTAATAAAACACTCCACAATCTCTTACCTGTTAGAAAGGGATTGCTGTAAACTCCAGCATTTTCCGTTTCAGCTCCTGTTTTAAGCCATTGATGATTGATCCACTTCTGCTGTCTTCTTTCAGTATGTCTTTTTTTTAATCGAGTCCTTTGTGGCGCCCTACATTTGGGACTTGAAAAAAATGTTTGTCTTTGTCCCGATTAGAGTGACTGTAATAACCATAGACCGCTTAGAAATTTGGCTTTTTAACACTGTGTCACCAAAGTAAATAGTGTTCTGCAGTGCCGGCTACTTCCTGACCCCCATCTGCATTTGGTGATGTAGATGCAATGTCATGTGAAACATAGCGATTGGCTACACTGTTAATAATTAAATAATAATAATTAACAGCAACAACAACAACAACAATAATAATAATAATAATAACAATAATAATGTATAAGTTGGATCACAAACCACTTTGAAGCAACAGGAATATGTATTTTGAAAGTCTTTGGGGCAAAATAAACGGCTTAAAAAAGTTGTGCCTGAATAACGGCAAGGGAACATTATTTGTATAGCACCTTACAACGGTATAAAACCGACCAAAGTGCTTCACAGATAAAAAATATACACAACATAAAAATGCATAAAAACTAAAGCTTAATAACTAACACTGATAAAACACTAAAAAGACTCTCATGCTGATTTAAAAGCCAAATCATGAAAATAGGTTTTCAAAAGAGATTTAAAACCAGACAGTGAAGAGGTCGACCTGATGCTCAGACGCAGAGAAATTTGAAAAATACTGTAAATCTAAAATGTTTTATGATAATCTAATTTAATTTACCAAGCATAGATAAACCTTGATCGTAAGTGTGGTTGTGATTCGGTCAGCAGGGGGAGGCAGGGGATAAGTGTTCAAAATCAAAACTAGATTTGGGTCAGAGGATTTGGACACAGATTTTCTGGTAGCCTTTTCTTCTGTGTTTTTACTTTTCATATTTATGAGAAAAGTCATTGATGTTTTCCTTCTCGTTGAATTAATCAAAGCCTTTTTGTTTAAAGAGACTGGTGAGTCATTATTCTGCAGACGTCTGAAAAAGATGGAGGTGTAGAATAGCTGTTATGTGTCTGAGAACAAAAACGCATCAACACAGAAACAAAGACTGAAAGAAACAAAAACCCTAAAACCAAAACCAAATGTATTGATATAGCACTTTTAAAAACAGCAATACAGCTGACCAAAGTGCTTCACAAAGGAGCATGAATTATCCGTAAAGATGACAAACAACAAAGAGTTGCAATGCAAAGATCCTAAGACAAAATACATGTAAAAAAGAGGAAAATCACCAAAACAATATGTAAAAGCAAGACTGTCAAATGAATATACAACAAAACAAAGAAAACCAACTTTATTTGACCTCCTCTGGTTGTTCAACATTCTGTTTGAATAAACTGACACAAATTATAGAATAAAGAAAGATAGTCATCACTTTTAAGGAAAAAGGAAAAAAAATACACACAACAGTTTTTGATTAACAAAAGGTGACATGTTGGTTTTAAAGAATGAGCATTGCTGTTGACTGCCGACAATAGTTGAGTCCTTTTAAAGCAGAACGAATAAGGGGCAAATACAGTGAAATGCCATTCCTTTCCTAAAATAAAACAGGATGTTCAGGCTGGCAGGCAACAGGTGGACATAAAGACTACCTCCTGGATTGTGTGTTTGTCACATTGTCATGCCATGAGCTACTGTGTGCATAGATGCTGGTCAACATTTAAAAAATACAGGCTGCTTTTACACCGCTGTGACATCTACCTGCATAAGGATGACAAATACGATGTTGCATTACCGATAACGTTAACCCTCTGGAGGCAGGCGTTGCAGATTTGCAACAGTTAAAACCTACCTACCTGTTTACTCCACATACGTATGTCATGAGCATTTTTTAACTCAGAAGTACCCCTGAAGGACTTGTTTGTCCTTTTATCAGAACTTATTTTGAGCCTGAGAGGGTTAAATCTGACTCATACTAACAGCTGAGTCCTGACCAGCTGCTGTTGCTGTTGTTGACCGCCGTGCATGCAGATGGCTCTTTAGACCTGGAGCCTGTGGAGCTTAGAGCAGAGCTGCAAAATCTGACTGACTGTACTGGAGCAGCTGCTGTTGTCCATCACAAAGTTGGAACACACACGCACACGCACACACGCACACACACACACACACACACACACACACACACACACACACACACACACACACACACACACACACACACACCAGCTAGCTGGTGTTGATCTCACAGAGCTCATGGCTGTGCCTGACTACAACGTGCGCGGACAGCGGTCCAACAAGAACATCTAACCTGAGGATACGAGATTATTTAAGTTTTCCTGTCCCTAACCTTTGTTTGGATCAGTCATCACAGAAGCATAATGAAGATTTTGGAACGCGTAGTGGTCTTTCAGCTAATTTTTGTCCTCTCGGCTTCCAGCGTACAGAGAGGTGAGAGAAACTTGGGTTATTACAATAAGGGCTTTGGAACCACGCAGAGCTTCTGCATGCTTGATGTCCATCTTTATTACTGGGTTGTTGTCTTGTCTGGAAAACTGATGAAAATGCCAAAACTAATTCAAACACAGAGAGAAACCAAAACACCAAGAAAATAATATGATGAGAGATCCAGAAATAAACTAGATACAAAGGAAGAAGAGCATAATTTGTTTCTAAGTTTCAGTTTTGATTTAGTCAACCTTAAAACAAAGAAGGTTCCCCTGATTGACAATACAAACAAAACAATCCAGTTTAGCCTTCCTCCAGGTCAGCACATCTTGTGACGGGAGATGTTTAGAGCTTCAGCTGTGTTACACGTTCTAACAGGACCAGAACAACTCCATCTCGGGCAAGCTGACCCACAGACGTGAGCAGATCTTAGTGCAGCTGTGGATCAGGACATGTGATATGAGGAACGTATTAAATGCTGGAACAAACAGTGTATGAGCAGAGCCTCGAAACGCGCTGCAGGATGTTTTCAGTTAGAACTGCATCTAGCTTTTCTTTCAAGATAGCCTCTGATCTTTTATCTTTTATTTGTTCTTTTATTGAAATAGAGGTGTGCTAAATTATTATTAATTAATTAAGGTAAAATAAAAGTTAAAAAAATCAGAGAAGCAGTCTGAAATGTAAGCGTTATGATTAGAAACCATTTAGCTGGGTGATCCTGTCCTTGGAGAGGGCCGCTCATTCAGATACTGCTGGAAGCCACTTCCTGTTAAAGGGGAGTTTTCCTGTCCACTGGAAAGCTAACCCTGACCCTAACCCTCTGTGCTGTGTTTGCCTAGGATGGACATTTGATTTGAATTAAAGGTTTGATGCTAACTGCCTGGCCATGGTAGACAGTTAGCATTTGACATTTTATATTGTACTTAATTTGATTGGCTGAGCTGAGTTAATAGAATCCCAACCTGAAGTGGATTGGATGTGTTAAGTCACCTCCACATCGACTCTTCTTGCTGATAAAATATATTAAAGAGTATCTAATCGTGCTGTAGACATGTGTAGTCAATAATTTGGCACTTTAGTGCATCTTAGTTCAATTTTAAAATTTCTGCCTAAAACTGTCAGTGTTGGAAAACCATAGGATTTAGTGGTTGTTGTGACCAGTAACCACACCATCAGTGAACCAACAACACAGTTCCCTAACACGTCTGACAAATCGGTTTCTCCATAGTAAAGTTGTTAAAAGAGAAATTTACAACAAGTAAGCCCACTTCTACGTTGTACTGTCTTTTTAAGGTAATCTCAGCTACTTTTAAAGTATTTCCTCTGAGAAATATCTTCTTTGTAACATTTTTAATTATTTTCCAAATGTCTTTTCTTAACTTATGTAATCTAGCTCAAAGGAAACACACACACAAAATAAAAAATAAATCCAAATGTTGTATTGAGTATTTGCGTGGATAGCTACAAAAGTCTCGTTATTTTTAATGCTCTTGCATGATTTTGAGCCCAGTGCTGGTTAGCAGTCTCTGACTTTCTGAGTTGGATTTCTGACCTTTGGGGACATCTTCATTTTTGACACAGAACTTCCAAATGCAAACTGAATGCATCTTTAGAAACGCTGGTAGCAGCTCGTGATGTGGCCATTTGTCATGCTTTAGTGAGCAGGAGCTGGTTGGTGTAGCAGCTTGGTCAGTGAAAGCTCAAGTTACAGAATATTGAACTTGGACATTAAGTTGAGCTTTTGCATTTAGGCAAAAATGTTATGCTAGTTCTGCGTGAAGTACCCTCAGATGCACACGAGGAGATACAGCTAGCTGCTGCAACTATTACCAAATGCCTACAGAAATTCTTGTAAGTTACCTTGACATGAAAAGCTGATATTGATGCAAAGGTTGTAGAAGATAATGTCTACATGAAACACTATGGAACTTTGGAGGTTAGATTTTTAAAGCAACACTGAAAGAGCACGTTACCCCTAAACCTTGCTGAAAAAACAGCATGGACCATCATAGGTGTTAAGTTAAATTAAAGTTAAAGTCCTATAGTTGTCACACACACTGGCGTGTGGTGAAAATTGTGCATGTGGTGAGGTGCAGGGTTTAAGGGGGGATGCTGTCAACCCACTGCCTCAGCAGCCCTATCTTGGTTCGCATTTTTCAAACAGGATGTGTGGGTGGAGTCTTACTCCAAGGGGTGACTGAAGCTTTAATATTTTTCCCCCATCTGCTTCCCACTAGCTGAAACTGGAACTAACCCTGCTGCTGCCTGCTGTAATTGGTGCTAACAATGAACTAACACTAACTGAAACCAGTTAATTCTAAAATAAGCCACAAAGTAAAAAGAGCCACACTTTGGAACAGATGTTATTATAACAAAGCCAGGCCACCATCAGTCCATGATGTTGTAGCCTCCTTCAGCTCCATTAAACACGTGTAAGCCATGCCAGTGTTACCTTTAGTTTTGGGTCTTTACTTTGCCTCCTAAGATATTCTCTGTTTAATCTTTGCCACACGGCCAACAACAACATAAGCAAAATTCTTCTTCTTCTTGGTCATGAAGTTCACAATGCCTCAGTGAATATAAAAATATTTTAATTCTAGTGCCTATTAGAGGAAAACATTTTATTATCATCTTATTCATGTGCTTTTGGTAACAATCGGCAAACTGAGAAAGTTAACTGCAAGCTTTGATATGAACTACAGTGAACAGCTGCTTCCATAAGTAGGTAGAAATCTCCTGCTGGTGTTCGTACCCAAACCACAAAACTGTTAAGTGTTAACTGTAGTTTCTGATCAGCGGAGGGCTACAGACAGCTGTCCATTATGAAGTTGCACATGTTTATGGCTGAAGAATCGTTGAAAGCAGTATGGAAGCAGTAGCTTAGTGTTAAAACACTTTAGTGTTGCTTTAGGGACTGGAATGAACCCATGTAGTTTAGCCATTATGTTTCCTCAGGTCAAAAATTTATTTCTTCAAACCGAGGTCTATCAAAGAGCTATCTACAGCAGACAAGATATTAAACGTTTTAACCTTTCTCCACAGAAAGAGGTCATCACTTTAAAGGTCATGATTTCAAGAATGTTCCTGATAACTAACGATGAATGAATAATGCTTTAATTGTTTCTGACCTTTGCCCCAAGACTTGCCATGGGAACAGAGTGGCTCATTTGTCCACAATAGAAATTAAAACCCTGTGTGTGTATGTGTGTGTGAGTGAGTATACCATATGACAGCTGAACAAGAGACAGAGTCTGTCCACATGGAACAAAACAGGAGAATGAACTGTAAATCAACAGGAGCACCAACAAGAAACCAGAGGTTCGAATTTACAGGCTTTAGAATAACAAACAGATTTCATGGGAAAGAAATTCAGTTTGGAAAAACTGGTAGAGCCCTCATAGGTACTGGAATCAAAATGGGAAGGAGAATTGGAAAGTATTGTTAAATATCACATCTATTAAAGAAGACTTAACCTCAGTTAAGAGGTTTTGTGAACCACTAGAAATATGGGTGATGATGAAAACACAAGAAAACCTTCCAGGACAACCCAGTAATCAAGTGAAACCTCTGCTCTATTGACACGAAGCAAAGGTTGAATGTAGTTGCAGCAAATACCCTCATCCTTTAGCCCAAACAGCTTTATATCATCTCTGGTGTCAACACAGCATGCAGGAACTTTTGTTCCAAACAAGAACTTCCTAAAGGTCAAGCTGGACGAGCCTCTGAAAAATGAGACATGAGTGCAGATGTTTCTCATCTGTTCAGACAAAACACAGACGGTCAGGAGAGGCAAAGGACGAGTTCTATAGCAGTCTACAACAGAGAATATACATCAGTAATCTGAAACTGATATTTCAGACCTTTTCAGACTTCTACTGATAAAGTTTAGCCTCTTTTTAGATTTTCATAATGATTTATGGCAGACCCCCCCCCCCCCCCCCCCCACACACACACACACACACCACCACCACCACCACCACACACACACACACACACACACACACACACACACACACACGCACACACACACACACACACACACACACACACACACACACACACACACACACACACACATACACAAACCAACTGTTCATTGGTGAAATTGCAGCAGTGACCCAAGGGTAAGAGGGGACATTCTTCACATTTTGTAACTGAAAAAGGTTTGTTTCACAAGAGACAAAACGATGTCCTCTAAACCATAAAACTTCTTTTTTTAGGCTTGAGCTTTTATTTCTCCTCCTGGTTTTACTTTACTTCCCCTCCACTCCTTTGTTTCTCTCCTGGTTCCCACTAAGCTGAAAGAGATCCTGATGTCTCTGATCTAACTCCAAATAAAAACCTTTGATCTTGCCCTCATGCTGGAATCATTTCATCCAAGTTTTTTCTCTTTCCAAAAGTATTTTGCTTTTCTGACCATCATTCAGACAGCATACAGAGAATTATTCGCTTGATTTTTCTCCTTGAACACTTTTTTTTTTAATTTTACTCAAAACTTGTAATAAATTAGTAGCCTGGCCTGCCAGACTCGTCCTCTGAGTCTATTGTGAGTCTGATAACTCACAGGCAGAGAGGCACTTGAGGGGCGGGACTAGGAAGCTCAAAAATGACCAATAAGAAAAAAGACAGAAATCCCAACTGTACCGCGTGACGCGGTAGATTTCTAGTTGTAGTAATAAAAAAAAAATGCATCTGGCAACGGCGCAAACATCTTTTATTGTTTTAGAAGAAATGCTTTTAGCTCTTCTGCTTGTGGTTTTAAATACCTCTCAGTCATTTAGAACAGAGGAAAGAGTCGCAGCGAACTCAGCCGCTGTCTTCGTTGTTTATGAGAAACTGAGCATCGCTGTGTGTGACGTCCGCGACGCTGTATTTTTTTTTTAGCTGTAGTAAAAATGGCGTCTGGCAACAGCGCAAACATCTTTGTTTAGAAGAAAGGCTTTTAGCGCTTCTACTTGTGGTTTTAAAGACACGTTCAAATCATTTAGGACAAAGGAAAGAGCCGCAGCGAACTCCACTTCAGTCACCGTGTTTATGACAAACTCGGCGTTATGGTGTGTGTACGATACTCCACGCTGATTGGCTCGGTTAGAATTCTCGCGGGGTGGGGTTATTTGAACAGGAAAGTTCCCAGACTCTTTCTCTGTGCAGAGTTAAACAGAGAAGGAATCTGGCAGGCCAGGCTAATAAATTAGCTCTACTCAAATAAAATAAACTGCAGAAAGGTGATAGTGAAGAGCAGTACGTGCACTGGCCCGGGAATGATCTGAACAAACATTGGTGCAATTATAAATGATAAATGACCCGCACTTGTATAGTGCTTCTCAGAGTAAGGACTCCAAAGCGCTTTACACTACAGAGTATCATTCATCCATTCACACACACATTCACACACTGATGGTGATGAGCTACAATGTAGCCACAGCTGCCCTGGGGTGAACTGACAGAGGTGAGGCTGCCAAGCACAGGCGCCACTGCTCCCTCCGACCACCACCAGCAGGCAAGGTGGGTTAAGTGTCTTGCCCAAGGACACAACAGCAGAATTCTCTGTCCAGAGCCAGGATCGAACCTGCAACCTTCCGATTACTGGACAACTCGCTCAACCTGTTGATGCACTTTTTACTGATTTTTAAATCATTTTTACAGTTTTGGAGAAAAGTGAAAATGTTAAGTACCCCTGTTTGCTCTTGACTCAAAGAAAATTCAAGTCTAAGACCCAATCCCAGTACTCGCACTGCGGTCTTCAGCAATGTGCACTTGGAGAAAGTGTGCAGTAAGGTTCGAGTGCGTAGTGCACAAGTGTGCAAATAATTGCCGAATTGAGATAGGGAGCATTGTGTCATCGATCGCAACGCGTGCCGGGATGCTGGTCACTTTAAAAGGTTTTTTCAAAAATCTTTATTAACAACTTTCAAACAAACAGTAAAGCAATCATTTGAAATACATTTAACTTCATTGCTGCTTTGTCTAAAACATTCAGAGCATCAACTAATAATCCTAAAGTGAACTAATTTCATTAGAAAATACATATTTTCAGAAAAGGAACTTGAGCCTTTTCTCCCGCAGCAATGACTTGTGGGTAATTCCCTTGCTCGAGATCTGCATCGCTGTGGACTTGGGTGAAGTGCAGATTAAGGGTGCAATGGGGTGTGGTCAACTTCCACACTTGAGAATCGGGACACCCTACACACTTGCACTCCTCGCGAGCATCAAAGTTGATGCCAAAACTGTTGTAAACATTTCTCCATGGCAGCTCTGGTGCTAAGCCTGCCCAACGTCTCTACAAACTGTGATTGGCTAGAAACAAAGCTGGTCGGTCCAGCGGACGGCCTGCTGAGGGTACAATGGAGCCTCGACTTGCAGAGCGAAATCTTTTGCTACTGCTATGGTTGGTTTAGATTTGTAGGCATTTTATTTTAGTATCTCTTTCAAATCAATATTCAGTTCTTTTAGTCATTAATATAAATATTTAATATATGCTATTTACTAAGTGGTTGATCTGATTGTTGTAGTTATCTATTTTGCTTCAAACTTGTTATAATTTTCTTTGAAATTTTTGCTACATTGAATAACTCCCTGGGTGCTGCTACAGAATGTCTAGATTTCTAGACTATAGTATTTTACACATTTCAGAGAAAAACTGCAAGTTCAGGCTACAAAGAAAACACAAAACCCTGTATGAACACAATAACATGTTTTGGTTGATCCCATCCCATAATTTTCACTACCAACAGCAGATTTTTAAAACTATTTTTTCACTTTGTTTATTTAGCACCTCAAATTATCACCTTGTTAGAAACCATGGATGTCCTGCTGGATCACAATGCCACGTTCATCTGTGAGGTTGAATCAAGACCTCCAGCTGACATCACCTGGACCAAGAATAACCAACCAATCATGTAAGTTCACAAAACACTTGGATCTTTTTTCAGCCTACTTTTGGACTCTTAATCCATGGATCCCAATCTTTGTTCATGACGACCCTCTTTCCTGTGTCCAAGGCAAACCAGGGTCCCCAGCCCCAACTCCTACACAGATAAAAGTTGATTATTATAAACTTTATACAGACATACACAGTTGTGGCTCTTACAGAGCTTTGATTTTAGTATTGGGTGTGCTATTGGGATTTTATAAATGTATTTTTTACTAATATAATCTTGGCAACATCACAACATCAACACAGGCAAAATTGTGAGGACCCCCTTGAGGGTCACGGATCTAGATCGGGAACCTCTGGGATGGCAAATGTTTCTTTCCAGTGGCATGCACACATATACAAACCTCCTTACAAATTTTAAATCCTCCTCCTTGTGTTTGAATATTCCAGGTACTATGACACCCGGTACTTAACGCGGGAGCAGGGTCAGTTGCTGCTCATCCCTCATGTGAGAGAATCAGACAATGGGGAGTACTGCTGCATTGCCAGGAATGGCGTTGGAGAGCCAGCAAAGAGCTGCGGCGCACTTCAACTTAAAATGAGTGAGTTACTTAGTTTTATTCCAAACTTTTCTTTTGAAATGTAGACTATTAAAAGAATTGGTATTAGTGGATAAACTGAGGCATTTTCTTTAGTCTCCCTTGGCCAGATTATTATTGTGAATGACAAGTGGTTCTCAGACATAAAACATAAATTGAGTTTTTATTTTTGTATTTTTCTCAGAACCTCAAATTAAACGACATCCTACTAACGTAACACTCCTGATAGACTCCAAAGCAGTGCTGCCCTGCGTTACCCTTGGCAACCCCAAACCAGATGTCACCTGGCTTAAAGATGATGAACTAATAAAGGTATGTGTAAATGCTGTATCCTTTAGTTTTTTACACAGTTAGAAAAGTTTGGTGATTTCCAGTTCTGAAATCAGATTTACGTTTATGAAAACATGTCTTCCAGATCAGTGCCCGTGTTACCATTCTTGATTATGGGGCGCTGAAAATCAACAACATACAAAAGGACGACGCCGGGCAGTACCGCTGTGTGGCCAGGAACAGCTTTGGTTTAGCCTTTTCCAAACCTGTCACCATTGAAGTGCAAGGTGTTTATTTTCGAAACGTACATGTTCATTTTATTTTAACCAACTGCAGTTTCAGTCTCTGAGTTTTATTTGCGCTTGTGTGTGGTTTTGTATCTTGCTCAGCTCCAGCTCGAATCCTGCGAGTCCCAAAGGAAAAGAGGGTAGAATATGGAAGTCAGATATCTTTGGAGTGTAATGCCACTGGGAATCCAATCCCCACCATCACCTGGCTGGAAAATGGAAATACTGTGAGCATCCAAGTACATTACTCAACTACTAAAATAAACCTACTTAACTACAATAGATGTAGTTTTGGTTTGGGAAAAAAAAAATTATATATATATATATAAATATATATATATATATATATATATATCTTTCTGCAAAGAGTTTGCATGTTCTTCCTGTGCATGCACCAGTTATCTCCAGGAACTCCGGCTTCCTCCCATGACTGTCAGGTTGATAGGTCTTTCTAAATTTTGTTTTTACTTGGTTGTTTGTCCTGTGTGTCTCTGTGTTGTCCTGCGATGGACTGGCAATCTGTCCAGGGTGTACCATGCTTAAATGCCCAAGGACTGCCAGAGAAAAGCACCCCCCCCCCCCCCCCCCCCCCCAGCAACCACATGTATGAGTGGACAGATATGGACAAGCTGTACACATTAAAATTAATTTTAGTCTTAGGATCTCTATTGGTCTGAAAAATACAATTCTTGCAGGTTTGGTGACAAGACTGAAAAGCTGAAGAGTAAAGAGGAGTTAAGTGCCTGGCCCATAACTGGAGGGTTGCAGGTTAAAGCCCCATCTGTTGCAGTTTCCTTGGGTTTTATCTGTCTTACTCCTGGTGGTGGTCGGAGGGACCAGTGGCGCCAGTGCTCGGCAGCCTCGCTTCTGTCAGTGTACCTCAGGGCAGTTGTGGCTACATTGTAGCTCATCACTAGCAGTGAGTGAATGTGTGTGTGCATGGGTGGATGACTCTTTGTGTTGTTAATCACCTTTTGGGGTGGGGTAATAAACTTAGAAGGTGCTTAATCAGATACAGGTCATTTATCATATGAGTAAATATTCCCTGAGGAGGTTCCCCTGGGATGATATCTAGTTACCATCAACATCATAGCTTTGAAACACAATCTTTAATTGATCACAAATTTGCTCATTGACACCCATGTCCTCTGCAAGGAGGCACTGTAATTATGAAAAAGACAACTCTCACTATCTCAGGATAGAATTGTTTTAAGCACAGTAAGGATAAATGAACCACAATTGTATAACGCCTTTCAGAGGCAGAAGACTCCAAGGCACTATACACCACACTGTATCATTCATCCGTTCACACACACATTCACACCCTGGTGATGATGAGCTACATCATAGCCACAGGTGCCCTCAAGCACACTGACAGAGGCAAAGCTGCCAAGTACTGGCGCCACCGGTCCCTCTGACCACTACCAGCAGGCAAGGTGGATTAAGTGTCTTGCCCAAGGACACAGTAGCATTCTCTGGCAGGAACCAGGATCAGTCCTACAACCCTCCAATTACTGGACAACCCGCTTGACCTCCTGAAATGCTGCTCAACAAATTTGCTAATTAGTGGCTTACATTAACATTAACATTAACATTCAGCTACTTGTATTGATAATTGTAACAGCAGTACTGTCTGCTGTATCATTTCAAACTAATGTATTACATTTGTTAAAAAAACTGTTTCTCTTAAGTCAACACTAGCATTTATCTTTTGTTTTCTTAAGCCTTTGTTTTCCTTCCCTTATTTTCTACAAGTTGGAAAGCTCATTAAAGTTGTTGAATTAGCTATTATCCTAATTGTCTTGACTTTTAGACAGCACATAACACTTAGAAATAACACTTCAAGTTAGAAGCTAATGATGGTAAGTTATTAAAGTAGTTGTATGCTGGTATTATAAGCTACTAATCACGCATGATCCAATTAGTTAAATACTCGCCAAAATAATTGGTGATTATCACACGCCTATCACAATAATTGTTTGTGGCAGCCTGAATATTGAGTGAAATGCCTAAATCTAATAAACTGAAATAAATTAACTAAGAAAGATTACATGGATTTAGCCAGTTGAGAGATTGTTTGTTAAAGGCGCCTGAACAGAAAATATGAAACACTCGGAAACTTACTTCGGCTGAAATGTATGACCTCATTATCCTGTAATAATGGTGAAAGAAATGACTCCTTCATCCAAAGCTGTCTATGTCTGTCTGTTGTTTTCACTCAGAACCCCCCCCCCCCCCCAACCATTCCCCCACCCCACCCACCCACCCACCCACCCACACACACACACACACACACACACACACACACACACACACACACACACACACACACACACACACACACACACACACACACACCAGTTAAAGTGATTTCAGACTGGCTGTGGGATCAGCGTCATAAACAGCAGGGAACTCTCATCATGGTGAGAGAGGACGGAAAGGATTGTTTTGCAATTAGCTCACAATACACATTGTTATCAGGCTCAGTGGGATTATTTTTATTTAATGGGGGACTGGCGTTATCATTTTACCAAAGAAAACCCAAAGATGACCACTATGCTGTAGTGGACGTAGTTTTGAGGGAGAACAGAGGGGACATGTCCCCCTACTTTTTCCAAAGTCAATTTTTGTCCCCTGCACTGTCCAAAAGCAATATTGCACTAAATTAAATAGACAGTGGTTGAGCACTAGAACCAAGCGGAAAACAACTGCTTGTGTTGAAGCCTGTTTCCCAGTTCATATTACATTTTTGTATAGCCTACTTATTGTGAAGATCCCCCCAGGTCTTCATGCCGGTTGTGTCCCCCCACTAGTAAAAAGTCAGAACTATGTCCAGGGTATGAAGTGCTAATTGATAACTAGACATTGTTATTATGTGCAATAATTATCTTGTTTATCTTAATTTACAATTATTCTCTTGTGTGATATCTTTTGTGTGTTACTCTGCTATCCTCTGTCCTTGAGCTGTTGCAATAATGCGGTTTTCCCCACTGAGGGACAACAGAGGTATTCTAATTCAAATTCTTAAAACAGAATTGGTACAAACGCACAACATGTCTATGTATTTGGTTAGAACTTTGGAAGAATAGAGAAAACAGACAGTTGTTATAATGATTATTTTGGTGGATTTTTGCTACATAATGTCTGGTGCTTTATAGCGCTACATTGTGATCACAGGCCCACATCGTTTGTAAATGCTTTTTGTATCTGTGTGTGTGCTGATTAAAATGACTGTGGGAGCTGATTTTCTGACAGCTTGTTAAGGTCATTAATTTCAGCGGGGCAGGAGTGAGCACATCCTAAAAACAGGCTGTGTGAAACACAACTTCAAATTTAGACATAGTCACATGTCGGCACCTAGCCTAGCTCACTCATTCACACACACACACTTCAGACGCTCACATATCTCATTGTTATAAATAAATACATGTAAGTGTGAATCCAGGATCCAAAAACAACTAACTAAATAGGATGTACTTACACCCTGTGAATGTCAGGGAATGTTGATGTCCTTCAAAGGATTAGAGTTTATCATGTCATCAAAATTTAAAGTTAAATATTAGACACTCATTTATTAGTTTGATATTAGGCTTGATGCAAGATAGTTCCCATAAATTCTACTGGGCTCTCTTTTTAAATGCTTTAAGCTAAATTTCATGTAAAATAATGCTCCTAATTGTCGTTTTTACCTATAACAGATATACCGATACACTGTCTGAATCTTGATCTTGAACACTGATATATGCTGTGTCCCCCTCTCTAACTAAAACATGTGAGGTTCCTAACAGCACACATCTCCTAACATGTATGTTTACGTTTTAATCCTTTTCTGTGCAAAATGGCAACTACTTCAATTTAAGTTAGTAATAGAAAAAGTGCCGTATTTATTTTATCTCCAACAGCAGCTGAATGCCATTCTCCCTGAGCATGATGCTAAAATGTGTTTATTAGTTAATAATATATTTATGATGTTAAAACATTTATAAAGATCTTTAGATAAGAAAAGCAAGCCTTGAGGGAAGATTCTTTTGTTGTTTGTTACCTGTCTACTAATAGCTATGTGCTGTGAGGATAGCGTATGTTCACTACACAGGGCACATTTCTGTTTCACAAGTTGTGCCAAATAAACTAAGACATCTCAGAGTATTTACCTCAGATCTGTTGTATTTTAACATGTTGAGAGAGAGAAGTAGCTGAATAGTTTCATGTATAATGTGTATATGTAAAAGTTGTGTCATAAAAAAGACTGAAAACCAATACAGATATTCTCCGATATCATATTTAAATGCCGACATTGACAGTAGACAGCTAATATTATCTCTCGTAAGAACATTTGCCCACATTTTAGGCTTCCAGGCACTTTTTTAGTTATGCTGCAGTTGTGTTTAAATGTGTTGCCGTTTCTGCCTGAACATTTCTTTTCAAAATTAGTGACTAGACTTGGCCAATATTCAGCAACTTAAGGTTTTATTCAAACTAATCCTAAACCTATCAGTAACAGATCTTCCATGAAGAAGTCTTTACTTCCAGATCACTAATTTTCAAGTTAAACCAAAATAAAGTAACCCAACTGAAAAATTTTTTCATCCTGTTAAATATTGTTTTTCAATTAAATTAGCTAACAGTCAGTATCAGACCTGGAAACAAGAATTAGTGCACCTTATAGAAAATGTCATTCTTTGAATCCTACGCTAGTTGAGACATGAGCATGTTTGTTTTTGTTTTTGCCATAACAGTCTGATCTGAGTGTTAGAAGCAACAGAGGCAACTAAGAGAAATACACTCCTCAGTTGAAAAGTTGGGTTGTTGAGAAAGTCAAAGGACACTAAGCCAGTAAATTCCACAAGGATGATTTGTTTTATCTCTATAGGACTGCACGTCGTTACTGAAGCCATCCGTGCTTGACTGTGTCATACCAGAGCATTATTCTGTGTTTTCACTCTTCAGAAGATTAACATGACATAAAATTGAGAGGTGCCATCTAGTGGTGCTTCTGGATCCAACATAAGATACAAACACAGCTGTGAAAGTTACATATCACAGCTACTTAGAGGTAAATCAATGTTTAAAAAAAGTGCATTTATCAGTACTTACATCAATACTTTGTATGGGAAAGTTCTTGTACTTGAAATGATGTAGTACCTTAAGTTTATTTCATCTTTGTGTAATTTTGTTTTCAGATCTCTGGAGCCTCAGTAGAAGAAACCTTGGTAGGAGAGGTGATTCTGTCCATTTTGACAGTGAAAGTAAACAAACCAACTTTGTTTACATGTGTGGCCTCTAATAAACACAGCGCCGGGGCCAACACTGTTAAAGCAAGTGCTAGAGTCACTGTTGCAGGTAGCGTGGAGTTTTAATTCTGTTTCTCTCATAAGAATCAAATGTTTAAAGGATAGTCACGCTTCTTTACTTGGTGACTTGTTTTGACCCGTTCTTTGTGTTGTGCCAGCTGTTGTTTAGTTTAGCTTTTGTGCTGTTTCAACTGTTTGTAGCCATCCCCAATTGGCTGGTCCTTACCCACCCCAATTACAGTCTTTTCAAAAAACAACACAAAAAGACCAATCAGACACACGCCACCCGTTAAAGGCCACGTACACTGAGCTTCAGTCCCCTCACAGTCTGTGCCTTCAAACAGAAGCACCATGGCTGTTTTCCTGTTGTTTAACGGACATATTCTTATGTGTCAACTTTCTTTCTTCTTTTTTTTGCATGTTCTGCCGGTGCTCATTCACACGGTCTACTCGGGGGATTGCCACTTTCCTGTAGAGTGGAGGTAAGCAGAAACACTTGTGTTGCTTTTTTTTCTTTTTTCTGTGAAGTCAAATTTGCTGAATCAAAAAATATTTCCAGTTTGTCTGGTTCGATTACTTTTCTTTAACTTTAAAGAAACACACTTGTGCTGCCTTCACTGGTTCTGCTGAATTTAAACATTACAGTCATGCCTTTAAACTTGAAACATTGTAAATGAGACAGGTCCTTTACTGACCTGTATGATGAATGTGAACCACAACACAATTCCATTTACCACATCCGGACTATGTAACATAAAAAAGAGACATCTACGAGACACAGAGAGTGAGGGACAGAAGAAATTTGCATCTGGATGCTGGATGAAAAGTGAACTACAACTCACTACAAGTCGTGCAAAGGTTTAAATGTTAGCTTTAACAGTATTTCATCATATTACGAGTACATCTGGGCTGCACAATCGCAGTGACAGGCAATGAAAGAAAGAGCAAACATTACATCCAGAGGTTTAGTTTAAGGGTTTGACTTTTGAAGTATTAGTCTCCCCAAGAGGTGACATCTGGAGTTTGTAAAAGTTGCAACACAGAAGGTTGGTCTGGAAGTACAACAAAAAGGTAGACAATGATTTCAAAATGACAGACAGGGAAAATGCAAAGCTTGTCCGTGCTTGAGGAAAAACGGGCAACATAAGGGAAATCAAAGAAGCAGACAAACCAAGGGGCAAAAATACACAGTCCGCTACACAAACAGGCAGGTTTATGCAAATTGTTGGATAGATGGTCATTCAAGAGGCAGAGAGGAAGTCCAATGGACAGGATGTAGCCCATGTCATCATGATCAACATCTGGCCCATGTTAAAGAGGTTACTTCAGGTGAAATGACTTGTTTTGCTTTGTTTGTCCTTCCAGCTTTTAGTTTATCTATTGCATAAAATGCAAACTACAACCTGAATCAAAATACCAAATTAATTACCAAGTAACAATTAATATCTTCTTGTTCTAAGAGCGATTAATGTATGTCTCCTTTCCACAGGCTTTACAAAGACGTTACTGGCTACTGTAGTGCGTATCGTGGAGACGTTTGTCGCACAATCCTGCGAGACGATGCTCTAGTTTTCTTTAACTCCTCCCTCTCGGACCCCGAGGACATGCAGGAGTACCTGGTTCAGAGCTGGTGGGCGGAGCTTGAAGGACTCAGTGGGCTTTGCAGCCCTGCTGTTCGCTCACTGCTGTGTCACTCCTCTTTTCCTGACTGCAATCCATCAGGTTTAGGACCTGCCCCTAAACCCGTCTGCAGGTACCACAATTCCCATAGTTTTTGGAGAAATGACAAAGAAACCAAGGGTTCAATGATTTTGATTTTTCCTTTGTTAAACAGGGAACATTGCTTGGCAGTGAAGGAGCTATACTGCCATAAGGAGTGGTTGGTTCTGGAGGGAACTGGATCCATTCATGCTGGGCTCTTGAGTTCTGTAACGAGGTCCCACTCGTCTGTTTCACTGCTGCCCAGCTGTCAGGTTTTACCAAGTCTTCGCTCGAGCCCGAGTGCTTGCACGTATATTCCTTTTGTTGGTAAGCTGCATCATACTGAGGAAGTTATTTTAGTTATTTTAAACCATACATGTGCACTGTTTGAACCATAATTGACTCAAAATTGAACAACTGAAAGAACTTTTCCTGGTTTGGAAAGAACCGATAATATGGTTGTACAGAAAAACTTACCTGTTCAAATTTCTCTATTACCCTGCTTATCTATAAGTGTCTCTGTTTTTTTTTTTCAGATTTAAAGAAAGATCAAATAACAAGTAAGTGTAGAATGAAGCCTAACAATATGGTCCAAATATCACACATCGATTTAATAATCATTAACCCAACAGTGACCGTTATAAAATGTATCTAAGTTCTTGTTTTTGTTTTTAACAGCAACTTGTTACAATGATCGAGGGCGTTTCTACCAAGGCAGTGTGAATCACACCAGGTCTGGGAAACCATGCCAACCCTGGAGTCAGCAGGTAAAATGGACATGAGCACATTGTAGCCACAGTTGGGCACACTGACCGAGGCGAAGCAGTCGTACACGATGCCACCGGTCTCCTTGACCACCAGCAGTGGTGTCTATCCCAAAGACATGACTGATGGAACCTTGTTTCCAACTAGCAACCCACACATGATGTTACAAGGCAAACTACTAACCCCTGAGTCTCCGTGACATCACTTACAGGTGTCTGAGGCTTGAAATTGAAGCTAAGTATCTTGGCCAGATCACACATCTGGACACACCTGGACAATACAAAAATGGGCAATGATTTGGAGCTGTGAGCGAAGCTCTTAAGATATGAGTTTTGCTCCAAGCTCCAAGCTAATTGAGCTAACCGAAGCTAACTGAGGTTTGTGGGTGCTTTCAGTCCAAAAAAGTGATTGGAGACCTTTAACGCGAAGCACACATCAACTCACTAAGTTCCAGCATTTTTGTGGTATCCGTCAGAGAGCTCCACAGACTACAAGCACAGCCTCAGACCTCATCGATCGAAGCTGGGATGAGTGAGCCCAGGCTTGATCTGCTCCTTCTCCACAGTCCGAGATTAATGGGGCTCTGGCAGAGGTGGGGTGGCGGAGCTGGGCGTCAAACATAAACACACAGAGGACACAACTAAAGTTCAGAGAATGGAAATGGCTGAACACTTTTAACGCAAGAATGAGGCTGAGGCTTTTCCCGGAGGTAGCTACTTGCGCTAACTCTGACGGCTCATGCTACCTGCCAATTAAACCTTATTATTCATAATTTCAAGCATTTATTTACACCTAAACAGAAGTGTTACAAAAAACCCACCTTCCCCAGAGTTGTCATGACCGTAAACTAGATCCATTAAACCTAAAATGGTTTTTTGAACCAGGCTGTAAACATGTTAATTGCTGCTGTGAAATTGGCTTTTTTATCATGGAAGTCAATGAGAGTTAGCTCTGTTTTGTTCTTCCTTGTTGGCTTCACTTTATTCACCCTATTACTGCACCTTGGGTCAAAAACAACTTTCAGATTCAACAAAAAGGACTGAGTCATTTCATTCCATTTATTTATTAGATCCCCATCAGCTGCTGCTTCGTACAGCAACTATTCTTCCTGGGGTCCGACACCACTGTAGGGTTAATAAGCTACATATCTAGGAATTAAAGGCTGTTGCTATCAGCTTATGTTTTAATTCCTAAGAAGATCAAACAAATTAACGAATGAAATCTACACACACACACACACACACACACACACACACACACACACACACACACACATATATATATATATATATATATATATATATATATGTGAAATAGATATAAATTAATACACCAACTTGCCTGGTCTATGTTAATCAAAAGATTATACTATTTATTTTTAAAGATTTAAATATTAGCAAAAGTTATTTTTTAATTCAGAAGATCTAAAGATCTTTACTTGTTCAGTGATCAATATACACCCACTCGGTGTTTATTTCAAGAAAGAGTCAAGTTTAAAAAGGTTAAGAAATTTATTACTAAACAATTTAAACATGACAATTTAAAAGGCAATTTATAAAAGACAATTGATAAAAGCTTTGGTAATAAAAACAACCCTGTGTTTGGATGAATCTAAGGTGAAGTGTGTTTGTTTGCGGGTGGATGCATGTATTAGAACGTGTATCTTAAAGAGAGGACGCGTTCCGGGTGAAGAAAGAATTTGGTTTTGTCAATAAGCTAAGTTGTTCTTGTTAAAGAGCATTCAGACGTAATCTGTGTTCTACCTCACCGTCAGACGACCCACGTCGTGGATCCGGAAGTCAGGGGAGGATGTTGAGCAGCCTCAGGGTACTGGGTCCGGTAGGGAAGACCGATGGTACCGACTCGTTCCGGTCCTAGAGATGCCGCAGGCACACAGGTGGAATTGGTTTGCGTCTGCAGATTCTTAAGGAATCTCGTAGTAACAGCTTTGTTCTGCAGGTGTCGTTATGTTGTGTTGGAGCAATTTTGCCACCGTGACAGAAATCACTTGTTTGGTTAAAGAGAGTGTGGGTGGCCGTCCCAACTTCTCTAGAACTCACTCGCAAATGATGAGAGTTCTGTTTAAAAGATGGCTATTATCATTTCTAATGAATCAGGTTTTGACATGTAGAAGGAAGATTTAACAAACCCTCAGAAACACGCCTCCCTGAAGACAGAAAGTTCAGGAGTTATGGGAAAAGTCATGTGATTGCAAGTTACCTTTAACTTAGTTACTGTGACCTGTGTGAGCTGACGACGTGCACATGATTCTTGTCACATTACTGATTATCATTAATAATTATTAACCAAAGAATAATAATTCATTTCAGTAAGTAAACACAGTTATAATGAACCTTGATGATTAGTAGTAAAGAGAGTTTATTTAAATGGTTTTTTTCTTGAAATGTCCTCTTCTTGCTGTGGATGGAATAGCAGTCAGATAAGCAGACAGCTGCATAGATTAAAGGGGTGGTAGCAGACTTTAAATCTCCTGTGAAGGACTCTATTGCAGATTGGAGTAGTAGCCAGGGCAAGGTGACCCAGGCTGTGTATCTGACCTGTGAGTCTTAAAACCAGGCCATTACGTGACGTTACACCACTATACAGCAACCAATATTTACAATAAAATACACTCAAACATTCTCACATCACAAAAACAAAAAACACAAAAAAACATCTGCTCAAATTACACAATAATTACAAACCATGGCAAAAGCTTCCTCAGCCATTTTGGACATTTCCTTCACATGTTCAATCACAATTCCCATAACTAATACATAAATCTAACGCTCTTGTGTGTCAACAAAAATATATTTAACTTATTTTTGTAAGTAATTAAATTACCCTTCAATACTAGAAAGTTAGGTAACGTGTTCCAAGCCACCATTGCTCTGTTACTCAAAGTTTTTTGTTTTAAAGTTGTTCGACACCTTGGTAACACAAACCTATAGAGTGATGTTTGCCTAGTGGAATGATGATGTATATCTGAGAAGAATAGAAATTTTCTGTAAAATAACTCTGGTACTTTGGTCATCACCACTCTCTTAACAAAACACAAAAGTGAATACTTCATAATATTTTCCACATACAACCATGATAGACAAGAATTCATTACAATTATACTAGTACTACAGGAACACTGCAAAGCCAGACGAGCCACTTTATTCTGAGCTACCTGTAATCTGGCCAAGTTACCCATCGAGGTACTCGACCAGACTACAGAACCATAATCCAGATATGCCAATACTAAAACTTGGACTACTTGCTTTAGCAGTTGATTAGACATAGACTTCCTACAGTATCTAACTACAGCAGTCCCTCTTCCCATTTTCATCAATACCTGGTCGACATGATTATTCCATGACATTTGGTTATCTACTATTACCCCCAATAAATTGACATCCGTGACTTGCTCCATTTTTGTGTCACCTACCATCAGCACTAACCTTGAGTTTTCTTTTAAGGAATATTTATATCCTAAAATAATACACTTTGTTTTTTTCTAAATTCAAAACTAATTTATTTCTTGTCATCCATGTGTCCATTACTGCTAACTCCTCATTTAGAATCCTGTTTAAATCCATATCTGTATCTGCAGAGGTATGAATTGTGGAGTCGTCTGCATACATTGTAATAGTAGCTTGATGTAAACTTAAGAGGTAAGTCATTGATAAAGATTGAAAACAACAATGGTCCCAGAGCGCTCCCTTGTGGCACCCCACAGCTCACCACTACTTGATCAGAATAACTTCCATTGAAATATACTATATTTTTCCTATCTGTTAGAAAGCTGTTCATCCATGTTTTGGCAGTCGATTCAAATCCATAGCACTGCAACATATCCAAAAACACATCATGATCAAGTACATCGAAATCTGCACTTAAGTCTAAAAGCAATGCACCAACTAATTTTTTATTATCTATTTCTGTCTTCCAATCATCAGTCATCTGTATAAGAGCAGTAGCCATGGAGTGCCCTTTCCTGTATGCATGTTGATATAAATGAATTCAGTACATTTATACAGAAATATTCTTGAATTTGTTCACATATTACTTGCTCCATTATCTTACCAAGAGCTGGTAGTAAACTAATGGGTCTGCTATTTTCTCCAGAAACTGGTTCTTTATTGTTCTTTTGGTATGGGAATTATTTAGGCTATTTTCTATTCCAATGGACAAACACCTGCTCCTAGACTTGTATTAATAATGTGAGCTACAGGTATTGCAATTAAATCAGCTACCGACTTTAACAACTTCATCTCCAATTCATCAACTCCAGCTGTTTTTTCTTTACCATCCTGAAGTAATTTTGCTAATTTATCTGCATCTACAGTCACAAAAGAAAATTTACGTGTCTTGTTTGCCATAATTTTCTCTCTTAATAATTCACCAGATAAATGAATCTTTATCCACAAAACCAAGTCCTTCCCTTATATTTTTGAATTGTATTGCTAAAATAGTTGCTAAAGTTCCTCGCTATTTTTCTCAGCTTGGTGAGAACTTTCCCGTCCGCTTCTAAAAAAGATGTTGTTAGCCTTCCCTTTCTTCCCATTAATTCATTAATCGTATTCCACATTTTTTCATTATCCCCTTTTACAGAATCAATTTTACTTTGATAAACACTCTTCTTTTTATTCTATTTAATTTAGTGACTTGATTCCTCAGTTTCTTATAAGATTCCCACCTCATTGTGTCTCCTGATTTTATCACTTCTGCCTTTGCCTTCTCTCTTAATGTCATTTTCTCTCTAAGTTCTTCATCCAACCAGGGTGCCTTAGAGTTCCTCATGGTTAATACAGTTAATTTTCTCATTGGTGCATGTCTCTCAATGACAGGTGTTAATAATTTACAGAAAACTCTTATCCTCATTAGGATCAATCTCTTTCAAAATTATCAACCAATCAATGCAGCTTACATCCATGTAATACTTATTCCATTTCAAGTTCTTTAAGATCCGCTTGAAAATGATCTTCTGACCAGATTTTGGCATTTTTGTCTTTTGGCCTATTGCTACTAAATTATGATCACCATAGCCTACCGGTACTGTTATTGCTTTTGAACACTTCGCTGGTGCGTTTGTAAAAATTAAATCAATACAAGTGGCTGATACTGATCCATCAGCCCTGCAACTTATCCTAGTTGGGCTGCTGATCATCTGCTTCAAATTACAAGTTTGTGTACTAGCTAACAATATACTTCTGATGGCACATGATGTTTTATTCCAATCAATATTAAAATCTCCCATTACCCACATCACACACTCTGTCAATCATTTCGCATATTAAATTAACATATTTCACTTCTGCATTAGGTGGGCGGTAACAGCACCCAACTATCACCCAAGTCTCATGTCAGTTTTAAAATTACTTCTGATTTTTTCATCAGCACTGAAAATAAAGATTTCTACAAATATGTCAAGGTTAAGGGCTAGCAGAAAGTCCCTAGCACAAATGGCAACTGATTTTTTGTCACTATCTATGAACCCATTTGAAAAGAAATGCAGATGATGTTAAAACGTTTGTGTTTGGCTTTGAGGAATGAATAAAAACGGTGCCGCCATCCTAGAAATAAATAAATATGATAAACTGTTCATCAGCTATCCCTGACTTCAAACTCAGCCACTAAAACACACAGTAGAAGTGCTGACAAGTGAACACACACGCACACACACACACACACACACACACACACACACACACACACACACACACACACACACACACACACACACACAAACACACACACACACACACACACAGAGAGAAACAAACATTTGCTGCTGCCCAACAGCCTCTTCGTGTTTTTATGGCTGTGCTCAGAGAGAAGGTCTTTTTGGGTGAGCTGTTACTACTCTCCTGTGCAGAGTGTGTGTGTGTGTGTGTGTGTGTGTGTGTGTGTGTGTGTGTGTGTGTGTGTGTGTGTGTGTGTGTGTGTGTGTGTGTGTGTGTGTTAATGCCAGGTCAGCAGAGTGGGAGGAGCTCCTCATGTCACATCCTGCCTCTGGAAGCAATTAGCTCTCACACGCATATGTTAGACAGGCACACACTCCAGAGAACACTATTTAGTTCACCACTATAGGTGTACATTCACTCAACTGAGGAAATAACTGCCCTCTAACACAACTCAGATGTTGGCGGACTCTATACTGTAGATGTGAGTTAGAGTTGATGTGAGACAGAAAAGGCTGACATTCTTCTGAGTCTGAATTCTGTCACTCGTAACTTGATTTTGAAAACAAAACAACCCAAAAAAATTATGTTTATATATTTATTCAGGACAATGGCCATTTATTAATTTACAGACTTCAAACAGCAGCCAACCACAAGCGGGCATTTTTGCTTAAACTTCAGTATTTATCTATTTCATATCTTGATGAGTCAAACTAAACTCTAAAGAGCTGTGAAAAAGTAAATGCCCCCCCACCCCCATTTCATTCTGTTATTGTTTTTTGTCACAATTGAGTAGTTAATGCCAGCAAACATATTACAGAAACATAGATGATTCCAAACTGCAGTTTTAAAATTATGATAAAATAAATCTATATAAACTAATCCAATTCTACAAAAAACAATACTTTCTTTTAATAAAATCATGAATAAACAGTGATTTTCATTTGGAAAGCTACGTTCGGTTTCACTAGCTGCACCCAGACCTGATTAACACCAGATCTGGAGGATTTAGAATAATTTCAATAGAACTGATCTGAAAACATAAATTCAGTTATAACATCTCTCAAAAAGCAACACCTCATCCTAATGCCCCGAGGAGACAAATGTGTAATGTTTTGAATGCATTTTTTCAGAAAGATCATCATACTAACAGGCAGACATGGTGGTGGCAGTGTGGTGGTCTGGAGACCTGGACCACTTGCTTTAGTTAATAGAAACATTAATTTTGCTCTCTCTGAGAATGTTCAGCCTTAAAAAGGCCGTTCATGCTGGAAAGACCGTCAGGGTGGCTGAATTAAAACAATTCTACAAAAAAGAAAAGGCAAAAAAATTCTTCAGTGGTGACGTGAGACGCTCATTACCCGTTCTCTCAAACTCTCCATTGCTAATTTTGCTGCCAGGAGAGTTACAACCAGTTATTAAGTTAAGAAGGCAATTACTTTTTCCAGTTTGGTTTAACAGATTTTCTCTTCAGGAATAAAATCATTTGTAAGCTGTGTTTTGTACTTGAAATGTATCTGCTAACCTGAAACATTTATTTTCAAATTCAACTCGGTTTATTAATATAGCACCAAATCATGACAGGAGTCGTCTCTAAGCACTTCACAACACCAACATTCCAATTGAGTTTAGTTCATTAAGCCAATTAGTCATTTAGTTCCTATAAAACGAAACCCAGTAGATTGCATCAAGTCACTGACTAGTGCCAGCGTCTTTAAAGCAATCCTCATTCTAAAAAAAAGCACGTAGCAACAGTGGAGAGGAAAACTCCCTTTAATAGGAAGAAACCTCCAGTGGATATAATCAAATAATCAATGCATTGAGATGCGGACATAAATGACTCCTCATCATAGAAGAAGAATGCCATAATCGATTATAGTGGAATGCAGTTTTTTTTTAACCACAGCTCCACCATCGCATCCAAATTTGTCAAATTGGGACGTGTCCTCCACATTTACCGAGTAGGAAATATTGGTCTGCCTTCATGTGGAGTTCCTACCTGAGACTGAACCTGAACTGAGCAAGCCCGATGGGTTCAGTCGGATTTGGGCCGATGAATTATGTTAAAAGAGCAGGTTGGGTTGCACAGCGCACTCGAAAAGTGAGAGAGACATGCATAGAGTTTCTGCTCACATCACAGAGAGGAGCACAGGACATACCTCTAAACAAGAGTTATTATTTCTCTCTGAAGTGCTTAAAATGGTCAGTTTCAGTCGAACTAAGTCAGACTGAGTGTTGGGGAGGGGGTGGGGATGAGTGACAGCGGCTGCAGCATCTAGTCATCTGTTTATTTAGGGTTGCAGAGAAGTTAACAGGAGAGAAAGAGTCAAAGAGAAAATGACACTTAACACTTTATTATTTTCTCTCATAATGACAAATATATGTTAATCAACTTAAAAAAAAACTTGAAGGAAGCTTTGGTTCATTGTAAGTTGTCTTGTTTCCCATCTGCTCCTCCAGAGACACCATGACATGAGGAGATGATAAAAGCCCCACAGGGCAGGTTAGTGGAAAGGTTGGTAGTTATCCGAAGGAGATCCATTAGCTGGGTAGACTAAAGGGAGCATTTGATTCTCCAACATTTCTAACATGAGACCATTGGGTTCAAACTAAAAAAAACTAAGCCAAACATTTCATTTCATGTTATATTTTCTTACACCCTTGAACTGTGGTATAAGTATTTGACTCTAAAGCTGCTCAAATACATTAAAAGCTAATTTATGGATTTATTGGACATGTCCTGTAGGTTTTCAGTATGTTTTAAGATTTTGTTAGCATCTGCAGAGTTTTTCACAGCCTGTGCGACTGTTAAATGAGGACACGGTTCTTTTTACTTTGATAAATCTTCCTACATGTTTAAAATGTTTTGCCCTTTTACACATTGTCCTATATGGACTGTTGTGAGTTAATAGCTTTGGGGAGACGGCATGTTGTGCCAGACACATTTTTAATTCTAAAAGAAAATATCTGACATCTTCTCTTTATCGATGAAAACATGTAGTTGAAATAATTGCGATGCTTTGACACATGAAATCAAATTGTTGACCCAATAATTGCTATTGAATCAAATTGGGAGACTAGTGAAGATTCACACCTCTACTGAGCAGCCATCTGTCACGACTCACTGGGGTTTGAGAGGACAGGGCAGACACAATTACTATGAAACAGAGTAGAAGAGGATGATTTAATTGAATACTATTTATCACTTTTCTTTTATATTGTAACATTAAAAACATAAATGCACATATATAATAAAGACAGTTGAAACAAATGTTTTATGTCCAGTGTGACTTGCTGTTTTAGGTTGACTCACAAAGACAAACTGGTATGAGATAATGTATGCTTTACTGCACAGAAATGGAAAATATTACACGAGTAATTCCTGAGCTTGATGTGTTTATGACCCACCCAGATCACGGCTGCATTCAGGAAGTTCATCAAATGAGTCAAACAGCCACCAGATCCTGCTTCAAAGAGGCTGACACATTTATTTACACGTTTCTCGTCCTATCAGTGTTCAGTTTGAGTCAGCATTAGGTGTGACTCATCAAGTTTAGTTACAGCTTTGGTGAGGTAACCCAAGCTGGTTAATGTAATAAGGTGACAAAGTGTTTTAGATTAGTTTGTTACATCATCTATGATTTTTTTTGGCCAATTTAATATTTATTTAAGCAGCTGTAACTTCCTTTTTTCTTCAAAAGCAACTTTCTAGTTTTTGATAATATGCTAAATGTTTGGAAATGTGGTAAATATGTATTATTCTAACATTTTTATGGTTCTGCCAAACCTTTGGAGGTAGACAAGTTAAATGCATGGCTGGATGCTAAATGTGAAAAAGGAGATTTGAATCTAACTTCCTCCCAGGAGTATGTGAATTCTAATTGGAAGCAGTGACAAAAGGCTGACTCCCTTCATCTTCTTTTGATCACTTGTTGTTATTAACAACAGGCTGTCTGGGATCCATCAGACGTTTGCTCTGTGAGCTGTTTGCCTGACACCCTCAGCTGAAGTAACACATGTTGAACCCAGCCCTCTCAGCTCATGTGTCCCAGGATGGATTTGATCATCACTTTTGGATTATTATGGCACAAGAGGATATTTAAGTTGGCAGTCTAAATTGCAGACTGAGTTGAGAAATTCCCTAATGTCCACAACAGAACATTTTATCACACCTCGCTATTAGGCTCAAACTACACTGTAAAACTGAGCACGTTCCATGACGTGACTTTTTTCCAACATGTCGTCTGAATTTTTTTTTAAACGCTCATACATATACATGCTTTTTTCATGAGAAACAATGGTTCTCATCACCATCATGCTCCTGTAGGTTCCTCATCAGCACCGGCTCTCTGTGGATGTCATTCCAGAGCTGATGAACTCGGAGAATCACTGCAGGAACCCTGGAGGAATCAGTGACAAGCCCTGGTGTTACACTTCTGATCCCAACATACGCTGGGAGTACTGTGCTGTGCCTCAATGTGGGGAAACAGGTGCAGCATCAAGTGCTATGTGTTGTTGTTTGTTGTGTTTAATTCAAATTTATGGGAATCATTTATTATGTAAATAGATTTCAGAGAAAGGCACAGGGAATTGAATGAAATGTGTGACCCACCATTCAAATGACTAAACACAGACTTTTGGAACTTTTATAGAATTGTTATTTCGGTTAATTCACAAATTGAATGAAGGTTGGGCTCAGATGCAATTATGAGAAGTACAATTAGATTAAATGAATCCGGGCAGGATGAGGTGAAATAAGAAGGGATAGGGTGAGATGAGATTGAGAAGAGATGAGATGAGATGAGATGAGATAGGGATGGAGATGAGAATGAACAAGACAATGTAAGGTCAGGGGAGGTGAGATTACCGTAAATCCTCTAATACAGGCCCGGGCCTGTATTTGACTCAAGCTCATCAAGCTCCAGGCCTTTACTGGAAGGAGGGCCAGAATTAGAGGCAGGCCTCTATTTCTATTTGAGCAAAATGAACTAATGGTTCGCTGAAGTTTTTGACAATTAAAATTGCGCCCACATTTTCAAAGTTAAACACATTTCTTTTAACAACGGTAGTTTCTGTTTCAGCCATCTCCCCCCTCCCCCTGCGCAGCGGCCGCAAACTCACTGATGCGCCTGCAGCCTCTCGGAGTTCCTGCTGCTCTAAACATTAAAATAATTATTTCATTTTCTGTTCCTCACTTCTGATTACCTTCAATGGCGTCTGTTTGTTGCAACCAGCAGGTACAAAAACTAACTTGTTTTTATTTGACTATTTTTCTGTCCTGCCTGTTTATTATCTTCCTGCATCTCCTCTCAGTCCTAAAGAAAAAACTGCTACCTGGGTTCATATATATTCACCTTATGAGTTACCTTTGAACTGCAGTTCTAAAAGATCTCCAAACCACAAAAACAGCGGAGTGCTCGCTGCTTGGCGGCCGCATCAGTGATCGGTGCGTCACCGGATGACAAGGTGATGCGCCCCGCTCCACAGCGAAATGCATCAGGCGCAAATAAAAGACAGAAAACATTAAAGGAAATGAGCCGGCATGAACGATCGGGTGTCAGTACCGACGCTCTGGCACAGCGCGTTGCCCCCCTGAGCGCAGGAGCTTGTCACCTGCTGACAGCAGTCTGCTGTCTTTTCCGAGGGCTGCATCTTGCCGGTCATTATCACGTGACAGCGACTAGTCGATGACAGGCATAAAAAGTCACTATAGTGAAGTCGACTAGTTCATACAACCCCTATTGCTCCCCAGTGTTCTGCAGCGCACGTTCTCGCCTCCTCTTCGTCTCCGCACGGTTAAAGTTACCCTCGCGGTCTATCACTGGCAAATCAAAAGAGAGACGATGACACAACCGCCCCCCCTACTTGCTTGTTACCACATTCCACCCGGCCACAATAAGAGACCGGCCATTGTTCACCTCCGCCGACTACGACACCGGCCAAAATATGATACCCGTCCGTTAATTGAATACAGGCCTGTATTAGAGGATTTACGGTATATGTATTAATCTGAGATGTGTAGAGAAAATTACTTAAAATGAGATGAGGCAAGGCAGGATGAGGTGAAAAGACATGAGATGGCTGAAGGCGAAATAATTCAGTTGAGATTAGATATGATGAGTGGTGGTATGCCAGTCATGAGATGAGGTGAAAATGTTGTTACAAACAAGTTCAAGTATTGCACTGACAAACCAGACTTTGCATTTGACATGGTGACTTCCTGTTACTGTTTCTGCCAGTGCCAAACCCGGTGTTGACAGTGCATCATCAGGTTCCTCATTACCCTCCCAAAACCTCAGTTTCATCACCTGGTTACTCGATGTCTGTAATTGTTGTTGTCCTGACTTCAATGGCAACTGCAGTCTTCCTCACTATCATCATCCTTGGCTGCCTTAGGAGGAGGAAGCAGTGGAGAAACCGGAAAAGGTATAGAAAAGGAAAACTGCTAGATATTCGCAACACATTTTTTAAACATAAATTTTATCATTCTACCCTTCACTGTTTTATTCATCAGAAGAGAGATGGAGACCCCAACAATGAGTGCTCTCCCATCAGAGCTCCTGCTGGACCGCCTTCACCCCAATCCCATGTACCAGAGAGTTCCCCTGCTGTTGAACTCAAAGCTGCTGGCTCTGGAGTACCCTCGGAATAACATCCAGTATGTCAGAGACATTGGAGAGGGTGCCTTTGGACGGGTTTTCCAAGCCAGGTGAGAAAGAAGGTAGAAAATATTGGATGGAAAAAGTTACACATGCCCTGTATCTGTCCCATTGGGAAACAAGACGTGGAGAAGAGATTTTTACTGCCTTCAAAAAATATGTTCATTGAGGCTGTTTCATTCTCTGTCAAAGGACAACATGATGATGGGGCTGATGATGAGAAGAGAGGCAAGCCTAGGACAGGGGAGAGGACATCATAGCTAAACAAGACCTCTGGTCATGTTGAGAGCTAATTAACAAATTCACAGGGAAAGCTGTAACGGCAGTCAATTCCAGACGCCCTTGACCCTTCTCACAGCAGGACACAAATGCCACACACTGAATTCTTTCATCTGAATAAAAAGCAAACCTGGGTAATAGGGATATTTTATTGTTAAAATGTCATTAATCTGTCAACAGCTGGATTCCCAGCAGTGTTCAAGGTTTGCCTGAGTAGATTTGGAACTTTAAATAAATTTAAAGGTGTCCCCCAGTGCAAACACTGAACTCTACTAGTTTTCAAATAACCCAAAAAGGTTCAAATAAAGGCAACTGGAATTCTTTGGTTTCTTGAAGACGTTTCGCTTCTCATGGGAGAAGAGTCACGTCTTCAAGAAACCAAACAAGTTCAGTTGCCTTTATTCCAACCCTTTTGGATTACCATGACCTGGATGACTGAAAAGCTTCACCAGCAATTTTCAAATAAATTACAGAATATTACAATTTTAGCACACAAGAACAGCATACAGTTAAAGTCCCATTAGTTGTCACACACACTGTTGTGTGTGCAAAATTTGTTCTCCGCATTTGACCCATCCCCTGGGGGAGCGGTGAGCTGCAGACACAGCCACGCTCAGGAACCATTTGGTGGTTTAACCCCCCAATCCAACCCCTTAATGCTGAGTGTCAAGCAGGGAGGCATTGGGTCCCATTTTTTCTAAGTCTTTGGTATGACCCGACCAGGAATCGAACCCTGATCTCCCAGTCTCAGGGCGGACCCTCTACCACTAGGCCACTGAGCTGGTTACAATGACTTGCAGTGCAGTGTATTTATAAAGGTTGAAGCAAGCAAATATGTTTGAGGCAAAAATTCTATGGCACCATCAGCCCATGATTTCAGAGCCTCTTTAAGCTTCCTCAAAAGAGTGTAGGCCGTGTCGATGTTCACTCTGGTTTTAGCTCTTTACTTCACCGACAAAACATTAGTCTGACTTTTACTTCCAGGCTCCACCAGGACTGAAAAGCAAACTTCTTCTTGTGTTTTTTATTGACAGTCAGCAAACTGAACAAGCTAACTGCTAGCTATTATATTAGCTACTGGCACAGAAAGCAGCTACCAGCCAATAAGCAGGTATAGAGTGCCTACCCACTTTTTATATCTGTCAAGTGCTGTTTCTGACCAACCGAGGGGTGCAACGCTGTCCCATGTGCCGCTAGAATACATTTCTACCAACACAATCAATGAACTCTGCTTTTTAAGGAATTGGTTAACGTGTAACAAACTACTCTGTCTGGCAAAATCTTTGTCAAAGATGGGATGGTGTGGTAATTTCATAACTGTGTGTGTGTGTGTGTGTGTGTGTGTGTGTGTGTGTGTGTGTGTGTGTGTGTGTGTGTGTGTGTGTGTGTACACACACACACTTGTTATTGACTCTGAACAAGGGCAAAACTGAAATAGTAGTTTTTACCCCGAATAGCCACCAGCCCCATTGATTGGACCTTTTATCGCTGCTACCCTATGAGAAGTCTGTAATTACAGATTTGGGTGTTAAAATAGATTCTAGTCTATGATTTGATAGACAGTTAAATTCTGTTGTCCATTTGTGTTTTTACCAGTTGAGGCGCTTATCTAAGATTAAGTCGATCCGCACACAATAGGAATTAAAAATTGTGACCAATGCTTTTATTATCTCTAGATTAGATTATTGCAGCTCCTTGTATGCTGGCCTGAGCCAGTCCTTATTGACTCAGCTGCTGCTGGTCCTGAATGCTGTTGCTGGTTTCTATTTGGAGAATGGAAGAGGGACCATGTCACTCCCCTTCTGGCTGCGTTGGACTGGTTACCAGTGAAATGTTGTGTTCTCTTCACGATCCTGGTTTTTGTTTTTAACACTTTACAGATACACTTGAACTTGAACTCTAGATAAGTGAACATCAGCAGGTGTGAATTTAAAATAGAAAATGATGTGTCTTTTGTCATAGCTTTGAAACCTTAAGTAAAAACAAAAAGGTTCAGTATGTTGATATAAGTAGTTTGAAAGTTTATGATGATTTTCTGTGTATTTTCTGGTATCTGCAGAGCACCAGGCCTGCTGCCCACAGAGCCTTTTACTATGGTAGCTGTGAAGATGCTAAAGGAGGAAGCATCAGCTGACATGCAGAACGACTTCCAGAGAGAGGCAGCACTCATGGCTGAATTCGACCATCCCAACATTGTTCGACTCCTAGGTGAGTATTATTGTGCCGTGGCGTAGAACTCAAATCTATCTCTTTCCAACCTAAAATATAGGACTTGGGCACAGCGGTAGCTCAGGAGGTACAGCATGTTGTCCAGTAATTGGAAGGTTGCAGGTTTGATCCTGGCTCCCACCAAAGAATTCTGCTGTTGTGTCCTTGGGCAAGACACTTAACCCACCTTGCCTGCTATTCTATTTGAAGCAGTGATGTTCCGCTGCCGCTTGCACTGCTGATGTTCCCAGTGTGCTACACAATACAAGTGATTTACCTTTACCATTCATGGAATGAAATCAGCAACAATCAGTACAGGTACTTGTGTTGTTTTCTGCATTTACAGCTATTATGATTTTCAACTAAAACCCTTGCAGCTACACTTGCCAGTAATGTCAACAGTCCCTCTTGTCAGTCCTAAAAGTCAGCATTGAAAAAGATTTAACCCTGCCTAGAACAGTAGACGGATTTTTTTCCTACTTGTTTTATCTCCTATAGTTTCTACTACAGTAATGCATGAGAAAAACGTTTTAAAGACTTTAAGTACTATAAACCAACTCCAGATAGATTGCCTTGCCAGTAAGCAAAAGCAGCTTGGCAACTTATTTACTGTTGTTGGCCCAAGTAAAACAAATGCTCTCTATGTAAGTTTATCTCCACTAATGCTGCCTATCTTATCTTACACAAACAGTTCAAATCCAAATATACTCAGGACAGCATGCTCTTTTTGGCTCTGGCAGAAAGTAAACAGAGCCATCGGTCATTGGCCGTGATGAGGGAAGCCCCCTTTCTCACACACACACACACATTTGGACAGATACACTTGTGGGGACCTGTCATTGACTTCCATTTGTTATAGTAACTTGATTATGCCTAAGCTTAACCCTAACCATACCCAATACTGATCTGTCCCTAACCCTAACTAAAAGTTAATTCACCTAAACCCAAGTAGGGACCAGCCAAATGCCCCCTCAATTTCAAAATGTCCCTACATTACAAGGAAAACATGAAGAAATGTCCCCAAACTGTAGTGCAATCCAAGTACAGACACACACACACACACACACACACACACACACACACACACACACACACACACACACACACACACACACACACACACACACACACACACACAGAGTTATGAAATATCTCTAAAATCAACATCCTCTCACTCACAGCTCAAAGAACTCCAGTGTCTAATATTTTTAACATTCAACCAGCCCTTTGAAGCGTTAGTGTCTAAATGTTTGGTGCACATGGGACCAGTGTGGACTAGATTATTTTCTTAACATCTAATTACCCTCAAACACTAATAATAATAAAGTGCTGCTTTTGAAGTGCAAAAATAGGTGTCTGTAATTTGAACATGTCAAATTTAGGGATTCCATTTGTCTGCACGGCTTTGTTGCATGAGTGGGTTATCTCGTATATTTAGCGTCTGAGTGAAGCACCTTAATCCACCTTCTGACCTCCAGTCAAGGTTGCTACTGTTGAGTTACTCCTTGATATTGACTCCCTCCCACTTTCTCTCTCTCTCTCTCTCTCTCTCTCTCTCTCTCTCTCTCTCTCTCTCTCTCTCTCTCTCTCACACACACACACACACGCACGCACGCACGCACGCACGCACACACACACACAGACACACACACACACACACACACACACACACACACACACACACACACACACACACACACACACACACACACACACACAGATTTTTCCTAAAATGGGCCTCACATTGACTCTCATTTTCTGAGGCCGTCTTGACCCAAACCATCATCACCATCAATCCATCTCTTACCCGTCTGATATAGTTCCTGAAGATTTATTGGTTCTAAAACCGTCTTCAGTCATCATTACATTTTGTCTCACCTATTTTAACTTTGTTTTTATATTTGAAGTTATTTGCTTTGTTTTATTTAATTTTTATTTTGTATTGTGATCTTTTGCCTCATGCTGTGAAGCACTTTGGTCAGCAACAGCTGTTTTAAATGTGCTAATAAAATTTACTTTAACCTTAATAAATATTTAAACACCTATGAGTAATAATCTAAACTTATTTTTGTCAGTTTGTATATGTTAAGATGATTTATTACCAAGTTTATTATATTCTCACATTAACTTTATGCTGTTTTAGTCACAAACATACTCAGACTTTTATATATCTGGTCTGAAGCTGCCAATTCAGCTTGCCATGTTCTTATTTTCAAAGATACTGGAATCTCCACAAGAAATTAGAATAATTATTTCAAGGGTTGGACACTCATTTAACCCTCTCAGGCTCAAAATAAGTTTTGATAAAAGGACGAACAACTAAGTCCTTCTGGGGTACTGCTGAGCTAAAAAATGCTCATGAAATACATATGTGGAGTAACCAGGTAGGTAGGTTTTAACGTTGCAAATCTGCAACACCTGCCTCCAGAGGGTTAAAGACATTTGGGAGGCAGCCAGCAGGTCACTGAGCTTCTGAGTACAAAAACAAAACTGGAACTTAAATATATCATGGTTGAGAGAACAGACGAGAACATTGTGTATACACACACTCGTAAAGTTAAGGTGTTAAGCGACCACTACTGTTTATTTTGTTTTCTTCATTTTAGATGTGTCAGAAAAGCATTGCTTTACAAGACAGACATAACCCATTTGTGTGTGTTTCCTCAGGTGTGTGTGCTGTGGGAAAACCAATGTGTCTGCTGTTTGAGTTCATGGCTCACGGCGACCTCAATGAGTTCCTGCGTCGCAGATCTCCAACCCAATCTGTGCGCACACTGAGTTGTGCGAGCCTCTCAGGTCGGAGCTTCTCCTCCGATGTGGAAGTGGGGCCTCTCTCCTGTGCAGAACAGTTATCCATCTCCAAGCAGATTGCTGCAGGAATGGCCTACTTATCAGAGCGCAAGTTTGTCCACCGTGACCTGGCAACGCGTAACTGCCTGGTCAGAGAGGAAATGGTGGTGAAAATTGCAGATTTTGGCCTTTCTAGAAATATCTACTCAGCTGACTATTACAAAGCAAATGAAAATGATGCTATCCCCATTCGCTGGATGCCTCCTGAGTCCATTTTCTACAACCGCTACACCACAGAATCCGACGTGTGGGCTTATGGTGTGGTGTTATGGGAGATTTTCTCCCACGGCATGCAGCCATACTACGGAATGGGTCACGAGGAAGTCATTTACTATGTGAGGGATGGTCACATCCTGTCTTGTCCAGAAAACTGTCCGATGGAGCTGTACAACCTGATGAGGCTTTGTTGGAGCACACACCCATCGGACAGACCGAGCTTCAGCAGCATATATCGGATTCTGGAGAGAATGCATCAAAACAGCCTTAATGTGACTACAGATACTGAGGCTGACTGCTGAACTTTACTGCTATTTCAACAGAAAAAAAAAACACCTGAAAAACTTGATGTCTGGAAAAAGTATTTTAATGACTTTCATGACTGAACACATTTACGTCTACTGGACTCTGATGATGTGGTCAAGTTAGATAATGTCCTCATTTTTTACCCTCTACCCTTGATGTGAGCGTGGCTATGGGGAGGGGCACTGCAGGGTTGTCAGAAGGCCCCACACAAAAAATACCAGCTGAATAATTAACAAAACTTTGTGTGGAATCCCTTTTTGTTTATGCAAAAATGATTTTCTGTCTTTCAAAGCTCTGCTTAAGCAAGGCTCTACGCAGTGTCTGCTTTAGAAATCATGGTAACACTTTGGTTTAGTGAACACAAATTAACCATTAATTAGCTGCCAATTAATATGCATATTAGTGGACTACTAAGTCTGAATTAGTCATTATTGTAAGCTATTGTTAGGTGCTGATTACCAGTGTTGTATTTCTAATATTAACAGGCCAGAAATTAAGAATTTTGATTTGAGCTAATTAGTATGTGCGTTAATCAGCAACAAACCATTTACTTTCAGTTAACAAAGTATTATGAATGACTTATTTTGATAAAACTCTTAATTTATGGCATGTTAATGTTAGAATTATGTCACTACTAATACGCTGTTAATAAGTGCTTAATAATGACTAGTTCAGACTTAGTAGTCCACTGATATGCATGTTAATTGGCAGCTAATTAATGGTTAATTTGTGTTCTCTAAACTAAAGTGTTACCAAAATCACACCCAGAAATGAGCTCAGGTTCACCATTATTTTGCCAATATGCCTTTTTAATATGTTATTTTCATCAGTGGCATGTTGAGTTTCAGTTTATTTCCCCTGCAACATATTTAGATTTACAAAAGCAATGAACTCCTGACTGTTTTTACAGAGTTAGAAAAGATGCAGGCAAATCAGAATAGATGCCCAGTGGTCTGATAATCTAACATTTAACTTTTTTTTTTTTTACTATCGTGCTAGAACGAACTAATTCCACACAGAGTCACTTTAAATTATGGGTGTTTATCATTTCTGGTAAAGTTTCGATTCCACTTTCAGGCATTCTTATTGTAACTGTTTTTCGTTAAGAGTTTGTTTCTTAGCTTTAGTTGTTGGTTTCTCATCGGCTTATAAGATGAAAAAGGTTTCAGGTGAAAATTGTTATTTTTTTGTCAATAAATTCCAAATATATACACAAATATTTGTTCGTTGTCAAAACAAAAACTCTCAAGAGATACTAGGCTTACTAACTTCTTTTCCATTTGACAAGAATTGTCTTAAATCTCTTCTCAAAAACATGATGGTTTCATTAAAATGAAGCATGGGTTGTATTAATGAAGAACCTACATTAATAATAACTAGAAAATACCTGGGGAAGTTTTGAAAGGGGCCTGCCGGCTAGCACAAGTTAGTAGCCGTGTGATTAAAAGGCCCAAAATCATGATTTTAAGGTGACACTGGGGTAAGCAAATCAAAACCATCTGATGATCAAATTATATGATGTGATCAAGTGATACACCACACCTCCTACGGTCAAGCCGGTCATTTTGTTATAACATTTGTGGGGGTGCACACTGCTGTTTGAGCTGCATAAATAAAGAAATGGGCAGGCCCTTTAATTTCCTTTTTTTTTTTTTTTTTTTTTTTTTTTTACCCTGTCCTGTCCTGGCAGTGAAGACAGAATGGTTGTACCAGAGCAGTTTTACCCTGCAGCAAGAGGGATGTGTGATATTACTCCTGTTGCACAGTAGCCTTTATTATATTAGTGGCATGTCAGATTGTATTCGCTTATGCCAGAGTGGACAGGCAGGGAGAAAAGGGAGCTACTAAACAAATAGACAAAGAGAGGGAGGGAGGAGTGGAGGGACAACAGTGCACAACAAGTAGACAACAGATAACAAATACAGGCATGACACTGATAACTGTTATGTTGTCTAAAAAAGAATGAAAAAGAAAGTAGGAGATAAAAAACAACAGCATGATTACATGTACAAAGAATTCTTAAATGGTATTGTCCATCTTTGAATTAGTGTGTGTGTGTGTGTGTGTGTGTGTGTGTGTGTGTGTGTGTGTGTGTGTGTGTGTGCGTGCATGCGTGCTTTCGTGTGTGTGTGTGTGTGTGTGTGCGTGCATGCGTGCTTTCGTGTGTGTGTGTGTGTGTGTTGGCTGCTTATACTGAGTCAGGATCCTCTGGAGGTTTCTTCCTGTTAAAAGGGAGTTTTTCTTTCCACTGTCACAAAATGCTTGCTTAGTATGAAGATTGCTGTAAAGTCACTGACACTAGTCAAATATACATATATATACATGTATTTATATATATATATACACACACACACACACACACACACACACACACACACACACACACACACACACACACACATATATATATATGCTATATAGGGTGTTTCATATCTTTGTGATTTGGTTTGAAAATCTTTCATATATGAAATTTGTTGATGTACTATATTTTCTTATTCTTGATTAAAATGTAAATGTTGTTTTACTTTTTATTGCTTACAAATAAAAGTCTTTAGCATATCTGTATTTAATATGTGGGTCACAGAAAGTGAGTATGGAAGGAGACTGTTATATGGGCCAGCACAGATTCCAATATACGTTAAGAATAATACAAATTTTAAAATGACAAAGTCATCAAATTGTAATGTAATAATTCACATATTAATCACAAAACTTCATGAAAAGGGTAGTACATTCTCTTCTTTTTAAAAATGAAAACAACTCTTAATTTATCAACGTTACAGCTATCAGCTTTGTCAAAAAGCTGGAAGCAAATACAAATATGGAGTCTGATAAATGTTACAAAATCTTTTAGGATTTGCCTTCTTGGTTTCTCTGGTACTTGAGATGGTTTACTTTGGGCCGGACCTTTGAAGAAACTGGCCAGCAGCTCGTTGGGTCATAATCCCAAAGAAGTGCTGAGTCACCCAATTTAGTCCAAACGTCCTCCATAAATGTTGTGAGAGCAAACAGCTGATGGTGCTGCGGTTGCTGTCTGACGTTTCGTCACATACAAGCTCGAATAAAAAGACATGAGATGTTTTAAGCAGGTACTGACTTCCATCCAAATGGTTTGACCCAGCGAGGTCATGCTCCTGAGGTCTAGTCTTCATTGTTTTATATATTCAGATTTTGCTGGAACAGCTGAAGTCTCATGGTACACACATAAGGTACACCATGGTGTACTGATATTTCTAATCACCACAAGAGGGACTAGAGAGGCGATCTGCATCAGTAAAAAGAAGTGTGTGTGCTGAGTAGGTTTCTGTGTACATAACAAAGTCCATTATGTAATATGTCCCATTTATTACAGCAAGTTTTCACATTTTTGTCAACATGTCTGAGTTTGCTTGTCAGCATGTCTGCGTGAGTTTTATAGAGAACGTGTGTGTGTGTGTGTGTGTGTGTGTGTGTGTGTGTGTGTGTGTGTGTGTGTGTGTGTGTGTGTGTGTGTGTGTGTGTGTGTGTGTGTGTGTGCTGGGGATGCCTAGCGTAAACTGTTTAGAGAAGGCAGCATGGAGCTTGGCTTTGGACCGGTCATCCCTCTTCTTTTTGATGTAAACTGTAGCTCTGACTTCCCCCCTCTCCCACTTCCTTCTGCTGCCGCCTCACTTTTCACCTCCAGTCCTTTTTTAACATCTGGACCTCATTTAAGTTTTCTTTTCTTTCCCAAGTGCTGGTGTTCAGGAATGGGCAACACTGTTGGTGCCTTTCTGCTAAAGAATAGAAAACCCCACAATGAGCGCAGAAATAAATTGAAGCTGGCAAATGTAATGTATTGCATAAACATATCTAAAATGTGCTAATTAATTGTTTTTCAATTGTGATTCAATAGAACAATTAAACATGACAAAAATTATGATACCCCTAGCCTACCAAGCCATCCTAAAATATAACTACTCCCACAGTTTGTCTAGCTTACATGGTACCCCTGTAATACGCAGCAAAGGTGTCTCCAGTCTTGTATTTGGCTGTACGGTTGTTAAAAAATCATTTATTCAACTTGTAAACAGTCCATCTGTTTTTTTACAGGATAGAAGGTTGCTGTTTGGTACCAGGGTGAGTCTCACACCGAACATTAACCACAGAAAATCTGATCAGCATCTTCAAAGTATCTGCTGGAAGACCTTATGACTACAGTTTGATAGATTAGAAGTTTAGGTCCAGTGGGTTGCCTGTAGCTCCCCAGCTGCAAAAGGATAATTGGTGGCAAACTGAAGAGATGGATCATATGACTGGTAACCAAAGGGCTCGGAGAAAGACTGGAGGTGAACTCCAAGGTCAAGATTAATCAGTATCAGATTGCACAATCCATTGCTTTTTTGAGCCAAAGTGGACCAAATGAAGGAAGACTGAGGACATATCTGTTAAAAACAAATCACAAGAAAAACATCACTGCAGTTGTCCAAAATGCATATTGGAGGAAAACTGGGAGTGTCCTTTCACCAGAAAAAAACAAACCGGAGCATTTTTGGAAATCACATTAGCTCTATACTATCAGATGTAAAAGATAGGCAGACAGGCCTGTCTCGTGTAGCTTTTGCTTTGGCGTGTCTGGCGCAGGATTTCTTGGATTTTAAGAATATTGTGGCACTTTGTCGTGCAATATGCTACCCAGCGTCAAAAAGCTTGGTCTCACTTGCAGGTCATAGGTCATCCAACAAGATGCTGACTAGTGATAAATAGACGAGACCTAGTGAAGTGTTACGGCACGTTACCAAATCTGTTTCGATACTGTGTCACTATGTCGGTTTACAGACACCATTGCGGGCAAACCTAAAAGCAAGATTCTACTGACATATTGATTCAATCAACTAGTATATGTGCAATACATTTTTTTATTGTATTCTACATTGTACACTGCATTATTTAATATATTAATCCAAGTTGAACAAATCTTTGATGCACAATAAGATAATTAAAGTGAATGTGTGTCACAATTTGTGAAAAAGTGAAACTTGTGAAGTTGAAGTTGCTTATGAACCGATCTTTGAGGCAGGCTGTTTTTTTTTTATATTGTTGTTACTTATTTATAATGTGTTCTCTGTGAGAAGTGAGCCAGATCAGATATGAACTGAGCACGATTTGGCACAGATGTAGATGCCTCGTGGACTGGCGCTCCCTGTTGTAGCTGCCATAGTGGTCGGCAACCATCTTGGATGGGTCTCCATTTGCCTCCAGTGCATTTATTTCTACTGAGGAAGATGCTTATCCAACAAAAAAAAAAAACACATTTTATTATGCTTTTTCACAAAATCAGACATGTAGCATTGCATGATAGTTAAATAACTTGTCTAGCATTTTTCTAAACAGCCACACTATGCAACTTTTTCATATTTTAAAACAATTTTCTTGAGTCACTATGTGCTGAAATGGCCCTTTAAAAGGTAAATTAATTGTCACTCAAACCTCACCACCCCCTATGGCCACATTACTGCATCTGCAACTTCAGCGTGGTGGGCGCTACTTGTCGGTCTTTAAAAAATGGTGCTGGCATACCTGGTGCTGCAGTCTGGTACCAGCAGGTTTCCTGCATGTTTTAGATCATGAACACAGCTGATTTGTTTAATTTAGTGATGAATCACTCCTGTAGAAACCAAGGCTGGGGAGACATTTCAGCTTTTAGATTGAGACGTTAAAAGGACAAACGCACAGGGAGGGGATAGGTTTCATTTTCAGTTTGACCACAGAGAATTAATAACTGCCAAGTGCGCCTTAATAAAAAATAAAAAAATTAATAAAAAATCTCAGCAGTTGGCCTAGAAAAGTCCCAGAAAAGTCAGATGTGATCCATTTTCAATAAACGGGGATAGTTGCTCACAGTTCGTTGACTCCCGTTGGGTTTGGAGAGTGACTGTTACAATCTTCTGTGCACAATGGAGCTTCTACAAATTCATATTTGTGGGATTTGGAGTCTTATTTCCTGATATTTGGACATCTCACTTCTGATTGGCTAACAAGCAGCACAACTCTACCACTGACTCCATTTGCTTTGCAACGTTTTTGTTTTATTTCCACAAATAACACAAGTCTGAAGGAGTTCTGTCATGTTGTGCAGTTGCTAATGCTAACATTAGCTTCTTCTAGCCGAGATGTTCTTGCTAAATCAACAACCTTCCCGCCGTGAGCCAAGATAAGTGAGTCCATGATTGTTAAGTGACAGTGTGATGCAGCAACCCGGTGTCACAGCATTCCGTGTCACATTCACGAACTGTAATCTAACATTTCGTGCTCGTGGACACGGATACATCATTTTCTCGTGCTAGTCCACACGACTTTCATCATCACTGAAATGCATGGGCCTAAAAATCCTGACGTCAGCATGTCATTTTTAATCATTTAGAACTGCAGCACTGCTTTCTATTTAGACTTTACACACTAACTCAACCTTTCTTTTACACAATTTTATCGTTATTTTATTCATTTTGCTTTATTTTTGATGGGCTACTTGGCTGTTGTAATGGATTTAAATACAAATATTTGCATTTTTCCCAGGTTGCAAATCGGCTAGGTCTATATGATATTGAGTTAATTCTTTGTGACATTTTTGTGTTCAATCTTTGTATTCATTTAATAGGATGAAGTCTTATTTTCCTTGCCTAAATTAAAAAGCGCAATGAAAAAAAAAACACCCGGAAGTAACTCCAATACCCAAGATGCCTTCTGTCAAGAATTACGTCTTTTTGAGCTACTAAACGATCCTTTTACAGATGTGTTTGGACGTAGATCTGCCAGACACTTCTGAACCAGATGTGTTTCCTTCTATTTCTGGCAGAAGCTAACACAGGAAATAGAGCTTAACACTATTTTCATCTTCAGCCTGCATGACAAACAGAGTGAACGATTATAATCAGAAATAATTTGTTGCATCAAAGGAGATGCTCATTTCATTTTTATTTACTGAAGAGTGAATTCAGAGTAATTCAGCTCTCAACCTAAATCTATTAAGCTTTAATCAGTAGGTTTGAAACCAGCCTGCTTCAGCTGCTCTTAAAAAATCTGCATCTGCACCGTATATTATGTCGATGATCTGCACATTATTAGAGTTAGAAATCACTTCTTGTTTTTCACAAAAATCTTCTTTGGCCCAAAGTAACTTGCTGTTTTTTCCTTAATGCAGAGGGTGAAAAGTGTTTGATTTCATTTACTAAAATGTATTCTTTGACTGAAGAAAGCCTTTTTTGTCACTCCCTGAGCAACAATGGAAACCATGGAAAGTGCCTATTGACATGACAATGATGTGACATCCCCTTCACTCAGCGACCAGGGGAATTTCCTGTTTGGAAACAGACTCTCATTGGTCCATTCGGTAGCAACAGGAAGTGAAGAGACATACATCAGTCAGCTGGAGGCAAACACTTCATAACGGTGGAACATTTAACAACACACACAGAAATATTGTTTCCAAAGAAAATATTTGTCTGCTGTGGCAACAACTTTTAGAGCATCACACATAAGTAGTCTTCCATAAAATGGCAATGTCCTAAAGCACAGTAATCCCTACATGGACAATTAATGGTATGTCCACACGTATAAAAAATCATCAACTGAAATGGAAAGAAATGTGTTCCAAACTAAAGAAACTGTCATATGAAGGTTTCTGCGGAAAGCCAAGGCTGTGAAAACGTTGCCGGCTCAAGGTCCATACATTATCAGGCGTGTCTCTGTGACCCTGTGCCCTGGGTTGCTTGATGTCATGGAAACAGATAACAGAGAGGAACCACCATGACAAGACTAAACACAGTGCTATCATTTCTTCCATTCCGGTAACACCATCTAAGATGCTCATCAGAAACAAAACATGGCCACACACAAATTAAGATGTCTTGTTTTAATTGATTTTGGGAATATCAACAACTCTGGATGTGTATTTATTGGTACTGTTTGAATCAAAGGTATGGGCACTCCACTTTACTGACACATTTACTCCAAATTTTAATGATTTCATTAACAAATGTTAATTAAAGCAATCTGGCTATGACTTTGGTTTGTGCAGTTTTTGGTGTCGAGATAGTGTTAGGGTTATATATTAGCCTTCACCTTTAACTTTGAGGAAAAAAAAAAGACTCCCAGTGAAGATTGTTGGGATAAAATACCACCCAGTGAAGGCCAAAAAAATGTTTGGAGAGGTCATTTCGTCAAACCTATCCATGTAGAAACACTTCCATTCCTGACACGAATCATTGTTCTACACTGAATGTAAACACAATACAACCTCACAGGTAACGTTATGCCTCCTGTGAATTTGCTCATCTCCAGTGGTTTTATTTCACATCTTCTCTCGCTGCTTTGTTGGATGTAGTTACGTGCTAACACAGCTGGATGTGTTTGGAATTTCAGCCAGAGTACAAATGCTTTTCAGACTATTATTTGGGACACGAACACACCAAGACGTGTTTTAACGGCTCTATGAACCCATCACAGATGACATGTAACCACAAACACAATCCTACAGCACATTTAGACCAAGTAGAACAGGTAAAGTCAAAGGCAACAAAGCCTTTTCCCTTTCTGGTGATTAACTTAGGAAGGTATACAGATATTTTTACATAATGTACACATATACTTACTTTAGTACACAAAAAGTGGCACACTGGTAAACAAAGAAAGTTTAGTTGGTTTGTTATAATAACCTGATCTAATCCATGAAATTACTAATGAGAGTGAATAGCAAACATGACGGCAGAGCCAAAGGGCAAAAAATGAGATAAATTGTTTAAGATCAAGGATCTGAGAGGTGGACAAACTTATTAATTTACTGTTTGATGAAAGAGTTTGTAAACAATAAACAAAAGAATCATGGAACTTTTATTTTTTACAGTGTAAATGGAGTGAGTTTAGAAACAGTCAGACACTGTCACTCAATTCTTTATAATCTGCTTCCATGCAGCCAGGCTTGTTGATGAACATTTCTTTTAATATTTGCACCTTTCTCCATTCCTGTTTAAGCTACCTGATCATTTTGAATGGATTGATTTGTTGTTATTGTTCTGTTTACTGCTTCATGAATGAACTATTGCCATCTCTGCATTTGATAGATAATAAATGATAAATGACCCGCACTTGTATAGCGCCTCTCAGAGTAAGGACCCCAAAGCGCTTTACACTACAGAGTATCATTCATCCATTCACACACACATTCACACACTGATGGTGATGAGCTACAATGTAGCCACAGCTGCCCTGGGGCGCACTGACAGAGGTAAGGCTGCCGAGCACTGGCGCCACCGGACCCTCCGACCATAAACTGTAACAGAGCCCAGTTTTTGCTGATGTTTACTTTTTAAAACACCTAAAAATATTAAAAAGTATGGCTTTTTGAAACCAAAACAGAAAAAAATTACGACTGGTTCAAAGCATGTACACATTAGTGTACCTGGACCAGACAGAAAAGAAAAGAAAAGGAAAATTTACCATTTCTGTGTTGTTTAAAAAAGAAAGCTAATAATGCTGAATATGAAACAAGGTAGTTAAAGATCTTGGGCATGTTTAGCTGATCATGTTAGCAAAAGAGAGAAAATAGAAAAACTGGAAGAAAAATTGATAAAAAAACGCACACTGCTCATTGTACTGAAATGATCCGGTGTAGCTCTTTGGAGTTTGGTTTAAAAGGTTTGAAGACCTACAGACCAGCAGCTTCCTGTGAACATATACAGGCTCACCAAGATGTCTGATCACTTCATTTATATCCCGGAGAGAAAAATCGTTTACCATAATCAGTAGTTATCACGAGATAACTAGCAGGGCAGAAACAAAGGGATTAAATCACAACATTTTTCATCTTGTCGGGTACCCTGGTGAGTTTTTTTGGGGGGGGGCACATTGTGTGGAAGATCAGCTCAGACAATGCAGCAGCAACAGTTTGTTTGTTTCACTCCAGAGTCGAGTAAACATCATCTTTTTTGTCGCATTTTTGCTTAGGTCTTCTTTGACTAAGCTGCAATCTAAGCAATTTGAGGACTTGGCACCCAAGTCTTGGGATGTATGAGAATATAAGAGGATCCTTTAAGAGCAGCTAAGGTCCAGCTTTGTGAGGAGTGTGATGATAGAGCAAATGAAGTCATAAATGAGGTTTGTGAGAAAAGCCATTTTTCCACAAAGCTTCTAAGTGTCTTTCCTTTGCAGCCAAGTAGTTTGTTTTTTTTTTATGTTAAATGTTTAGGTAGAGGCACAAAAGCTCTAATAGAACAAGGATTTAAAGAAGCTGCTTTAAGGTTGACCTTCAGTACATCAAGTTTCCAATAAGAGCTGCAGTCAGAATTTATCCTCGCTAATCTCATTTCAATGAGAACATATTTTAGATTATGGTATAATGACCTTATTTTATCATGGACAAACTCAGAGTTGTTTTTTTTAGGGCAGGAGGGTACGTTTTGAGGTTTTGTTGTTATGCTTATTGGAATAATCATGTCTCTTTTCTTTCTGTGTTTGACTTTACTCTTAATCTTATTTTACTCTTATAAACCTAAATTATACCTTTTTTATCCGAACAAATTTAATTTAATCTGAAAATAGCCAATGTAGAAATCTTTGGAACGACTTGCTTTTTAACAAAATGTCCTGATTTATGGCATTTACTGAAGTGTTTGCATTGGTTTGTTGGATAAAGCAGTGTGCTCCAACTGAGGTCCCTGGACTCCTAAGGGTCCAAAAGCCATAAATTGTGGGCCCATGAAGCACATGTAGTGGGACCTATATGTATGCATCTCCTGGGGTGGAGCTAATTAGGATAATGGACAAATATTCAAGTTTGTCTATTTTATCAAGTCAATGCAAAAGCCGAACCAGCTGAAATTAGATCACAACAGTTACCTGGATTCTGGCTTCATAGAGAATGAGTGTGGAGGACCAAAATGTGTCTTGTGTCTTCAAGTAGTAAATGAAGCAATGGTTACAGTGGAATATCATCCCAAAGCCAACGTAGTTCAAGAATAAAACAAAAGATTTGGTTTTCCAGTGAAGGAGTGAGAACCACGCACCCCAGTAAAAAACAAAAACAAACAGTGAACCTGCCCACAACATATAAGGGGGGCCTTGGAGAACAATGCACCCTTCTGTAAGGGGTCAGTGGCCTTCAAAGGTTTGGGAACAGCTGGGATACTGAAAACAAACAGTTGGGAAAAGGACAAATTTATAAGATAATATATATTTTTAAGATCACTTCATAGAAAAAAGTATCTGGCATTGATTTCTCTTGGTGCTGCAATTTTTGTTGTGTGTGTGAGTGTGTGTGCATGCGCGTGTGCGTGCGTGCATTTTCAGTATTACTGTTAAAATAATGACAACTCCAAAGAAAAATCTGTCCTGAGTTAACAAACAAAGGTAAAGTGTGGAATTTCCCTCTGGGATTAATAAAGTATTTTTGAATTTGAATTTGAAGTGTTTAGTTGCATATTTAGTTTTCACTGAACATTTAAATGACCTTGAAAGAGAGCATAGAGTTCATCTGACCTAATATATGTCAATCCAAAGGCCTCAACTGAAGAAGTTTGTGTCGGATTGTGTTTCTGAAAAAAACACACGCTCAATGCTAAATACTGTCTTTTTCACATACTATGTTGTGCCTTTGCCGTCATGGGAAATCACAGAAAAGCTGAGAGATGAAGTCAGGTTCATGAGGTGTAAAATCACTTGTGTTCAGCCTGTAGGAGTTACAGAAGTCAGTCCTTTTTGTGCCAATGAGGCACAAGCGACGCTTGAGAAGTTATCGTTTTTATCACAGAGGAGATTCAAAGTGGGGTCGGAACTGGAGAATAAGGATCGTTATATTGGATTCACCTTCACTTCACAGATAGCTTAAATAAATCATATCTTTGCTTGTAAAAAAAACATTTAACACTAAACAAAAATACTACAAGCCTGTCAGAATCCTCAATAGTTTAACTTCTGTTTTCAAACAGATGAAGTCTTTCATGTCCTATTGTCTCCTTCCTTGTATTCACCTTCCTTCTCATCCGTCTGCTCTTATGCACAAATGTACACGTCAGTCTGCAGTTTTTCCACATTCCCAATCCCTTTTAACCATGTTTTTTCCCAAGAATTCCTAAAATGTCCAGCCTTCACCCTTTTTCTTCGTACAGGTTTTCATACCACTGAGTGTTCGTTGATGTGGTGATGGCGCTCATGCACCGCACCTGCCCCCAGCACCGTGTGGTTGATGGAGGATGCAGACCTGTCGGATCCTTCAACTGCCATGCCATTGATGTTCTCTTGCCGCTGGCAGCATAAGATCTGCTTGAAGGTGGCGCTCATCTCCTTGTCGCGGTAGGAGTAGATGATGGGATTCATGGCTGAGTTGAACTCGGCGAGAAGCAAGAAGAACTTCTCGTAGGTGAGGACGCTGCAGTTGACACAGAAAACGTCGAGGAGGAGGATGACCAAACCTGGAGTCCAGCAGATGATGAAAGCACCTGCAGGGGAAAAAAACAACATACAACATCTTAGATATTAAAAAATTATGCAGGTGTGAAATCTTTATAATTAGGAAATGAAAAAAATCCTTCGATGTGTATTTTTATGTTTTACGTAAATAAGCTCTAATGGTTGTCTTTCATGTCCATCTGTGGTTTTAATTGAAAAAGGTAAAAAAGTGCTCATGACTTGTTCAGAGAAATTATCCCAAAAATGTCTTTGTCGATATGAATTAAACAGATTTTTCTGTTTTTGTCTAACCACACCCCGAAATTCAAAGACTGCTAAATAAAAATGTTGTTTCATAAAATAATCTAACATCAAAACAACAAATGATGTCCCACTTCCCTTTTTAGCAGTCTTGTCTCTCTTTGGACACAAAGAACCCACTTTACAACCACATCACCACTAATGCACAGAACAAAGCATTAATCTCTGAGCTCATCTAAAACATTTCCAACACCTCATGATGGAAGCAGAGTGCTTTTGGCTGGAAGGGGCTTTCCAAATGTACTCTACTATACATCAGTGGTTATGTTCAGGAACAATAACACAAAAAGGTTTTCCTGTAACTGAAAAAAAAACCTCAGAAATACAAGTAAACAGCTCTTTAGATCGATGAGACACAACATTAGGACTAAAAACGTGTCTGTAGTACTGACTTGCTTTCTAGAGATGAGATGTCTTCAGATCAGGGATAAGTCCAGATGATCTAAAACTGTCATGGTGGTCATGAATAATCAACACCTCCACTGTTCAGTGATGCATCTGTGCATCTTAAAGTCATATATTAATTACACATAATATATACCTGTTGTATCCATGTTTAAAGTATTTTGATGCATAAATTAAAAGAAAATGAAGACGTGTGATAGTGTTTTTTTTTACCATTTCCCACAGGATATCAAACATTTGTGAATGAACCCTCTAAAATTTTGTTGGAAGTTTAAATTATGGGTCTTCATGCACTGCGGAAAGAAATATGAAGATTTTAAATGCAGACCCTTAGAAATTTCCAAATTTCCTATACACACACACACACACACACACACACACACACACACACACACACACACACACACATATATATATATATATATATATATATATATATATATATATATATTTATATATTTATATATATAGGCAAATTAAGCTAAAACATAAAGCTTTTTAATTTCAGTCTACTTGAGGTGATTCATCATCATTCCTATTAGACAGTTGTAGGACATTAGGCTCTTGAGACTTTAGCAGAAAGAAATTGTGCAAGTGTAGTGAGATAGAAATGACAGGCAGGCCTGTTATCTGTTAGTGTTCCTGCAGGCAGCAGCTGCAGCAAAGGCTTGACCTCACTTCCCAGCTATGCAACAAGACCCTCCAGATTCTCCAGAGCTGGATGCATGTTTTAATTGTTCACAACTCAACATATTTGAACTATTTACATTTTATGCCTGAACAGGACAATGATCAGATAGTTTTTTTTTTTCATGGAGTTTATGAAGGTAATAATTATTTTTGTTTTTTTGCATTATCATTGCTTGAAAAATTCCCGTGGTGAAAAAAAAAGGGACTGGAGAAGTCGAAAGTCACAGCACGAAAGTAAACAAACATGTATTTATGTATGAACACGTATTTGACAGAAATACCAACATAAAATCACCTAAATATACAAAGATGTTTTCCTACAAATCTAAACAAACTGTAAAGATGTTCCTCTACAAATTGGTCTAAATACCCTCCACTATAGCCTGAACAGGTCTACTCTTGGCCTGAATTTGGTCTTGACCATCACAGTGCTCCAAATGTTTGCTGGACCAGAGCAGAAAGCCAATGGTGATGTTTCAGGAACACCGGAAATTTGCAACAGCTTAGGCATCAGCTTTGGCGGATTTAGACGAGGGGTTTTATGTGTGACATGAGCAGACAGAGGTACTTAAAGTAAAACTGAACAGTGTCCAGCTTCTCCATCCTACTAGTTGAAAACAGAATTACAACAGTTATAAACAAGCCTGCAGCAGCCTGCTGTAGCTAGCACCAACAATGAGCTAACATTAACCTGAACCAAGACTCACTAAATAAGTCACAAATGAAAAAGATCCACACCATTGGACAAAAAATATTATTATTTACACGTCATGTAGCAATAAAGCCAGGTCACCATCAGCCCATGATTTCATATCTTCCTTTAGCCCCCTCAAACAAGTGTGTGCCGATGTTCACTCTGCTTTTAGCTCTTTGCTCCACCTCCAAAGACACAACTTTTTGACTTTTATGTCCAGCCTCTACCAGGATGCCAACAAGAAAGCAAACTTCTTTTTTTTCTTCTCACAATATTTATTTTGATGGTCAGCGAACTGAAAAAAGCTAACTGCTAGTCATTATATTTACTACTAGCACAGAAAATAGCTGACAGTTGTTGAGCAGGTAAAAAGCACCCCCTAGGGCTCCTGTCAGCCCCCCAAAATTGTTAAGTTCTGTTTCTGGTCAGCAGAGGTCTGCAGTGCTGTCCCATGTGAAGTTGGTTATTGATTGCGTTTCAGCGCTAGGGTCACTTGAATTGCCCTAACATTATGGTTTTAACTGTTCTTCTTTTTAAACCGGATGCTTGATTTTATTTTGTCCGACATTTGTTTTTTTTTTATCGATTGGTCTTATTCCAATATCTCTTATCTGTAATGCTGTTTGCTTGCTATTTTACGATTTTATGTTTTTATCCTGCTTTTATGCCCATGTATTGGGAATGTTTTTCTTTTAATGATGTTGTTCAACACCTTGGGCTTCGGATAATGTTGTAGAAGGTGCTATACAAATAAAATTTGATTGATTGATTGATTGAAGTTGGTAAAGTTTCTACCCACACAATCACTAAACCTTCTTTTTAAAGCAGTTGGTTAAAGTGTTAAATACTGCTTAGTCCTTTATTTTAAAAAAGGGTGTATTTGCTTCTTCTTTGGTGGTATTAGGCGGACTGCCCCGTTGACCAATTGCCGTAGCAGTGAAAACGACACGTTGTTCTTTGGTCTGATTGGTCCTAGTGGCGGTTTGAAAGACAACCGTAGGTCATAACCCATGACAGACCTCTGTCTATGGCTGATAATATACACACGTACCCATGAGACATTTGTTTCAGTAAAGACAAAAACTGTTTTTTCCCAACCTTCTTCATCTTTTCTCTTCCTGGTGGAAATGGATTTTTACAAAAAAAAAAAAAGAAAAGAGGATTAAGGGAACAATAATAGGAAAATAATGGAGACCAGGCTGAAGCAGTAAACCCTGCAGTCCCACAAACCTTCACTCAGACAACACACACATGCAGAACTGAAGGCAGACACATGTCCAGATGCAAACTCACAGAACTAAAAGAAAATCAACACACACTCACATGGCTACACGTTTTACAAAGACAGATGGGACAACATGTGGAGGATGTTGAGAAATCGCATAACTCTTCATTCCAGCCCAGGATTCTTTGTGTCACAGTTAACACTGCAGTCACCCCTGGGAGATTTGTTAGAATAGCCATTTAAAAAGGGCTTTTTTAAATGGCTGAGGATGGGGATGCTTTAAGGATAACCAGAGGTGGTTGGATTACAATTTATGACAATACAATGGCATTGCTAATAAATAAACATAGCAAAAATATAAATAAAAATCTAATGAATTAAACATGGTGTTCTCTGATAGGGCTGTAAATACTCTGACGCTTTAATGTGCACAACAAATAGCTGTTGGAGATGTTTCACCAGTTTTTTTGGTGCCAAGTGCTGTTTCTGCTGTTTTAGTTCGCTGTGGGAGACAAAAACCATAAATAAGGATAAAAGAGAGAGAGAGAGGAGATCGGTGAACAAACTGCATTCCTTCAATTCACTTGTAAGTTCTGAAATTTCTTTTAACACCCAACACCTTATCCGTCAAAGTGTCATAGATTTTAGCCACATTTTCACTATCGGAGTACCAGGAAATGGGGGGGGGGGGGGGGGGGACCGGGAAAATACAATGTCTCGGTCCTATCAGCTGTTGAGTCTCCGTTCTAAAGCTGCGCTTTGCTAAGACGTCAGCATTTTGGGTTTTGGCAGTTAAGTGTCATCACTGATCAACACTAAAATATGAATCAAAAGTGGTCCCAGCCAAAGAAACATCAGTTAAAGCATAAAAAGTGCTGCTTTTGAAGAAACCATTAAAAAAAAAACTTTGTAAAACAACAGCGGGATCATTTCATTGATCTTGTCAGTCATGGGTTGTATGTGAATGTAACGGCTGTCTGAGTGAGAGTTCCTTCACCACAACTGGGTTATCTTAGTTTGAATGAAAACAGAACCAGGAGGATAAAAACACCGTCAGTAATTTTCCACCCATAGTCTACCTCTCTCTCCAGTTTCAGGCAATCCAACTAAATATTATTTGCAGCATATAAACTATCAAACACTATAATAGAAAATGTAGGTTTTCTCTTGTCTTTTCAAAGCAATCAGCAATGTATGTCTAAAACCAGCAGTGCCACACTTTATTTCCTTTGAGACAGAGTGAGATGCCCCAGATGCTGCCTGGTCTGTGTGACCACCCTCCAACCAGCTGTCATCCTAAACACCCAACATCTGATGGTCCAAACCAGCCACCAGTTACTAAATGAATCACTGGGCAGTCAGTGTGGTCATTGCTTCTGACACCATTCTCCACAGCTAATGGAACATGTCACTGGTTTATGAATGCCTTTAAGTGTTCAGCTCAGTTATCTTTGCAGCATCTCCAAAAACCTTGCTTTTCTTTTTTTTATTTGGCCACATTGTGCATGCAGTCAAACATCTGACTCTGTAAGCAGTATCTAAACAAGGCTTTGGTCCCACCAGTGTTATTCTATTGCTGTTTTCTAGATCCAGTAATGTGCTTTTCCCATTTGAGAGCTGCACTTTTAAATTGTGGATTTTAATGCTTCTCTGTTATTTCTCCTGCGTAATCATGTTGGTTTAGATTTCACCTAATGTGAATTCTCCCAGGCCCT